TGGAAAGCTTCCATGTTGTTCCTTCTTCTCATGGAAGATCCCATCCTCTTGTAGAAGGCTGAGCCCAGAACTAACCCAAGCTATCGTTAAACACCTCCTTCAAATTTTCCTAGTCCTTTCCCGTAACTGTCACTCTGAAAACCTGCAGATAACTGAGGCTGGCTTGCTTTTACCACCCTTAATAAGCAATCGGCAACTAACCCCCTGTCACCACCAGGCCCACACAAGAAAGAAATTAACTTGCAAACAATTTGAGATCATATTGTTTGCCCAGAAATGACCCAGGAGTAGCAGCAATGCTGTTACAATAAATTAATCCATGTGCAAGCAAAAATGTTAATTTGTCAAACACAGCCAAGTAAGCAGATAGGAAATGATTGTGATAGATTTTCCTCAGTCACTTAATTAAATTAAGCTTCTCTAATAAAAGCTTGTTAATTTTGCTGGCTGATGAATTCTTGTGTACAACCTTCCAGAATGAAGTTCTTTCCAACCACTAGTTCCTAATTTTAGAGACTCAGTGTACTAGATGTGGCCAAAACTGGTCCTGAACGGAGTTTATACTTGTCCTAACAATTTGCACAGTGTAGTCAAAGAATTCCTGGCAGCTTAGAGAATGGGGGTTTTTTTTTCTACAACATCCTCAAACTCTTCCAAGCAACATCCCAACAGTCCTATATGGGGAAGACAAAACTTGGTCTACTAATGTCCAAGCAACAGCCATATAATCAACATACCCGGGACTGCCTTTGAAGACAGTCCAAAATTTTGGCGGGGCAAAATATGGCTACACCAGTATTGGTGGAGGCAGTCAGAGCAGTAACACTTACACTGTGTCAGCTACACGGGTTACCAGTGTGTTTCCAAGCTTCGTTTAAAGTCCTGATTTTGACCTTTAAAGCCTTCAGTGGTTCGCAGACAAATGACTTGGGCTGCCTTCACCCATATCAGCTTGCTTGCACTTTAAGATCAACAACAGAGGTCCTTCCCATTTCCCCATGGGTATTTAGAAGGGCCTTTTCTGTAGTGGCCCCCCTCACCACAATGCATTGCCATTAGAGCTATGTCACGATCCATCATTGCAGGTCCTCAGGAAGGGTTTGTTTGGCTTCACACCAATACTGTTTTGCAGGTCTCTTCTGGACTGTAGCTAGAATCGTGTTGGAGCTTTTGTTTTAAACTGATTTTGTGGAACGTATTGCACAAATGTGTGCTGTTTTATTACTCTATCAGGGTTTGTCCCATGAATGTTATTGTTGTAAGCCAGCTGGGGACAGATCCTGCTCAGAAAGGCCTCCTAGAAATATTTTTATATTTATGGTTCCCAGGCCTTATCTCATTCAAACTCATCCAAACAATGAGTAAGTATAGCTGAGAGGTAGCTGAGTGACATTCCTAGGTTACATTTCTAGGTCCTTGGATTCCATCCAAGTCTATCTGGAAACAAGAGGAATTAGCAAACAAGTAACTCGCAAGTGGCCATTAATTCTAAATATCATGAATCCATTGGTGTCAGACACCAGAGATTGGTCCAGGCCCTGGTAGGGGGGAATGAAGAACATGAAGGGGTGTACAAAGGAAGCCCAGAAATGAGGTCACAGTGGTTCTACACCACTGGATCCTTATGATCAAAATGACCTTCAGTTTCTGGGCATCCTGGTTGCTTCTGGCCCAGACCTACAAGCCAAGCTTATTGTTGACAATAGCAGTGGGAAGTCCTGGTCTTTATGCGGCCCTCCACCACATAGCCCTCTGCAAGCAAGCAATCCCGATTTCAAGCAAGAGCCCCCTGCCCTGCTCCTTTGGACTGTGGAGGAAGGGGAAAAAGAAAATAAGAAAAAGGTTTGACAGAAGAGAGAGGGAAGGGAGTGGAGGAAAGCAAGAGTGGCATGCCCGTCTCTCCAGAGGAGAAACTGAGACGAAAATAACATCTAGGAGCAGCTTGTTCCAGAAGGCCAGGAGAAAACTAGGTCCCAACTGGAGATGGCCACAGGACCATTCCCATGAAAGGAGGGAAACAACACCTCTTTTCTGGACTAACAGCGCTTCATCAGATGCATTAACCATGGCATACACTCACAGGGGCGGGGTGGGCGGGGGTGAAACTGTAAGCTGTGAAGCCAGAGAGAAATACACTGTGGGGGGAATAAGACCTTGATCAGTTAAAGGTTGAATGTATGCAAGAGAAGGCCAGTGAAACATCTTAACAGCCTGAGAGGTGATATGGCAAAATTAAATGTATGAAGGGACTCAATTCTATTCATTTAGGCCTGAACGAAAGCCGTGCTTTCCTGCCCCACCATGGTGCCCATACCTTTGCCACTTAAGCTTGGTGTCAAAATTTACCCAACACAGGAAATCCATGACTGGGCCTACCAGCCTTTGCTGGAAGCAGATCCTGAAACTCCAGTGTAACTCTGCACAAAAACACCAGTGGAGAAGTTTCTCTAACCCTTCCCAATCCCTCCTACAAATATTTTCGCAGGCTAACTCCCTCACCCAAAAGCTGGTATGATCCCCACTAGGGGGAAAGAAAAGAAAGAACGGGGGGAATTATATGGGGAAGAAGGACTGAGCACTAACTTGAAACAAAAGAAAAGAGCAGGAAATCTGATTGTGGATAATTTGCTGGCATGTCTGGTTAGCCTTGGAAATCAAAAACATTGCCTGTTGTCAGACCGTGTTGCTACAGTAACTGTGGAAGGTCTTCAGCTGGTGACAACCCCTTCAACAGAAGAGTTCATTTCATTACTTTCCATGTTAAAGGTTTTATTAATTTTCCAAACATGAGAGGAGATAATCAACTAAGCAAAAGAAAGAAAATCACATCAGGTTGAAGCCTAGCGGTTGAGATATAATAGTGGAGGGGGGGGGTTGGGGGGGTTCCTATTAGCAAATTATATTAAGTCTCCTTTTCATAATCTGAGGAATGGCTTTGGCAGATGCTACTGCATATGTCCCCGATTTGTGTGTGAAGTTAAAGGCTGCCATATTTGATAAAAATCAGTTTTTTTAAACGTCGCCTCTTGCTAATTTGAGTTGACATATCCATTTCCCAACGTTTTGGTGTTACCTTGTGAGCTGCCATCGGAATGAGCACAACTGGAAGCCGAGGTTTATGCCTGCACAGATGTGTCTCACAATCCGTGAAGCTTTCCGTGCCACAAATGGTGCCTCAGTGCCCCCACATTTCATGCCCACCTCCAGATGGGGAGGAAGAAGCGGCTGGGAGCAGAACAAACGGTCCTGTTTTGCAACCTTCTCCCACCCTCCTGGCCACCCACGCCCACCAGCCCCAGCCACCATGGCCAATGCGTAGGAACGCTGTGAGCTCCGCTCCTAAACAACTGGAGGACTCCAGGTCGGGGAAACCTCTTGTATTGTCCTAGGAAACATCTAATTCGTGTTGCATTGATACAGGAATCCGGGGAGCTCAGGTGCTTGTTAACTGCCAACATCACTCGCTGGCAGGATGGGTTCAAAAGGAGGAAGATGGAGGCTATAACTATGCTATTTTATACTGTCGTGGTATATCCAATTTATTTATTGGTTTAGGATTGGCAGGTTTTTATGTTTGTAAACCACCCAGAGAACCCTCTGGGCTACTAGGGTGGTATATAAATGCAAATAATAAACAAACAAACAAACTCTTCCAAGCTACATGTACCAATGGGAGGGAGAGGCTGTTCAGCCTTTTCTTTCCCAGCTGTTGGAACATGCAACACTGTTTTTCCCCCAAGGGATAAAAGACTTGGGCCACCATAACATCTTTTTTTTTAAATCTCTGAGGGAGAAAAGGGGAACAGGCAACCTTGGGCAGAGAAGTGGCCGAGAAGGGCTGAACTGAACAATTCCTCGTGGGCTCCTCCACCCAAGGAGGAGCAGAGCAGCCTGAAATAGAAGCTGCAGGAGGGTCCATAAAACAGTATAACTTCGGGGAGTATTAAAATATCAGCCTTTGGGGAAATAATACCTTTACATGAAAGAGGATAATCTAGCCCTAAGCACGGGAGAAAAGCAAGCCCCTGGATGAGGAAGCCATCATATATTATAGTTATTATTATCATATATAAATATATTATATATTATTATAATAAAGACATCAGTTGAGGAACATTACCATGGTCTAGGACTGCATCCAATCGAGCTCACGTACCCAAAGAAGCCCACTATGGACCCTGCTCTGGTTTTCATGGCATGACCCAGCCTGTGCCTATATCACAGGATGGGGGCCCTCAGACAGGGGCCCATATCTGCATTCCCCAGAAGGCCACGCCCCTCCCTGGCCACGCCCCCTGCTCCCCGCCGGACTGGCTGGCTTCTGGGCGGGGGTCCCCCGTTGGCGCTGCCTCTCCTCCGGCCTTGCATTTCTGGCCCTGCCTTCAGGGGCAACTGGAGCGCTTCCCTTGGGCTGAACGAGGCTTCATGCCCCCCAGAGAAAGTTAGAGGGACGAGGCATGGCCCGCGCCTTCTCCATTTGGGGGCGTTCGCCACCGGACACGGCGGATGGCTTCACACCCTGGCCAGCCCCCTCCCCAAGTACCCAGCGGAGCGCTGGACTGCCCCGGGGGCGCGGGTCCCCCCCCCACACACACCCCGCACAGGCACGCTCTGCGAGGGGTGGTCGGCGAGGGAGCAAGGCTGCCTCGCCGGAGAGCCATCCGCCAAGAGGCAGGACGCGCGGGGTCCCCCCCCCCGGGGTCTACCTGTCCGCCTCTTCCCTCCCCCACCCCCTCAGCCCTCCCTCGCCGCGCGGGTCGCCCCACGCGGGCCCTTCGCCCCCTCCCCGCCTGCTTCTCCGTCCTCCCCGCAGGGACAGAGAGTTCAGGCGCGGCTGATTCACGGGGCGATCGCCTCCTCTCTCCCAGCAGCGCGCCCGAGCGGAGCCTCAGCAGACGCGCGCAGCCTTCCGCGGAGTAACCCGAGCGAGCGAGCGAGCGAGCGCGCCCGCCGGCCGGCCGGCCCCCGAGCCTCGCCCTCCCTCCGCCCTGCCCCGCACCATGCCCGGGGCGTGGCCGGCCCCCAACTCCTCCAGCGGCGGCTCCGCGCCAGCCCCTGCGGGCCAGGGGTGCGCGGCCGGCCTGGAGGGGCACCTGGCGGAGTTCTCGGCGCCGGTGCCGGCGCTCCTGGCGGTGCTGATGGGGCTGGCGGCGCTGGCCACCGTGCTGGGCAACGCGCTGGTCGCCCTGGCGTTCGTGGTGGACAGGAGCCTGCGGACCCACAGGAACTTCTTCTTCCTCAACTTGGCCATCGCGGATTTCATGGTCGGTGAGTAGAGCCCGGGTCAGCCCTGCCCGCTCCTCGGAGGACAGATACCGAGGCTCAAGCTCAGGTGCTCTGGCCACCTTTGAGAAGGAGGGACTCGCTGGGGAAGACCCTGGTGCTGGGAACGATGGAAGGCAGGAGGAGGAGGGGGCGGCAGAGGATGGGGTGGCTGGATGGGGTCACTGGGGAGGTGGGTGTGGGGTTGGTGGACTCTGGGGAGGACAGGAGGAATGTTGACCATGGGCTCTGGAAGGGTCAGACGTGACTGTGTGACTCAACAGCAAAAGTGCCGGTGGTCCAGTGAGGCCAGGAGAGACAGAGTTGGCCCGTGGAGAGCTGGCGCCGTGGCCCCAAATTAGAGGCAGAACCCTGGGTCGCTTCTGTAGAGTTCAGAGTAACCATGACATGGGACCCACCCAGCCCTGCTGGGACTGGGCCTTGCTGCATGGAAGCCGGAGGTCCAGAGTGGTTTGTGTATTTCTGCTGAGAAAACCTCCCCATGGCTTTAATTCTTTCCAACTCGGTTCCCCATCGACTAAGTTGGGAAAGTGACTTGCTGCAGTAGGAGTATTGTGGGCACAATTGAAAGATTGCGCTGATGGTTTTAGGGGACGATCCCATGCTAGTTTAGACCAAAGGAAGTCTGTCCGAATGGTTGGACGGAAATGTTGGGTGGACTTTGGTCTGTCTAAGCGTGCACCGGACTGCACTCTTTGCAAATTTTATTCTGTCTGTGTGGTTTTAGAGTCATGATTTTAATGGCTTGTATGTGGTGTCTTGGGTTTAATGCAGGTTATTTGCTCTGGGCTCTTAGTAAATCTAGTAAAAACTTAGAAGCACTTTTGCATTCATGCTGTATAAAGGATTGGCAAGAGAAGATACAGGGATGACTATATGGCCAAACTCATTGCTGGCTACCATAATAGCAGAAGTGGCATGGATCAGATTTCCCCTAATAAAAATGCAGGGAATGATTTATTCCCATATCTGGACTAAGGAGGAACCTTCTCCTCCAGACAGATCAGCCTTTTCTCACTTGCCATATAGTCCATGAACTGCTAATATCCACCAAGTGTGCATGTCAGCTGAACGCGACACAGCCCCCTTGAGCATGGTACAGTTTACCGACTCTGCTGTTTGTCATGGCTGATAATAATATGGAAGAAACAGACATGGCTATTCAAATAAACTGGGTATTTTGTGGTGAAGGAGAAACAGCAGAAGTGACCAGCTCTGGTTCCTTCTCAAGCTGATACCTGCCCATACTTTTTTCCGGGGGGGGGGGAGGAGCGGGAGTATCATGGAGGATCAGGCCCAAGAGCTCTCTAGCCTGGCATTCTGTCTACACACTGGTCAACCAGTTGTTTGTGGAAACTCATGAGCAAAACAGGAGTGGGACAGCCCCCTCCTGCCCAAGTTCCCCCACAACTGGTACCTGTAGGATGCTTTTTTTGGAGCCGGAGGAATTCAAAGAGCAACCCAGGTCTGAAGGGGGGGGGTGTGCAGGGCTCTCTCCTTGAAGATGCCTCCACATCCATAGAAAATGACCTCATATCAGAATTAAGGAGCTCAGGCTAGGATCCTGTCACTCACATGGCGTCCTCTGGTCCATGTCCGCAGGTGCATTTTGCATCCCGCTTTACATCCCTTACACTCTGACTGGAAAATGGATGTTTGGAAGAGGGTTGTGTAAACTCTGGTTGGTGATTGACTACGTTGTGTGCGCAGCCTCTGTCTTCAACATCGTCTTGATCAGCTTTGACAGATTAATTTCTGTTACGAAGGCGGTAAGGAACGTTTCCTTCTGCTGAAAGATGCGTCCAACCCCAGCATGCAAACTTCGCCATCTCCCCACATATGCACCCGCCCCGTCTGGGGCCTCACATTCTGTCTGTTTCCCTATGCGTGCAAACACCCCACCCCCACCCCAAAGCTCTCCGGCTTGTCCTTCCTTCCATGTCACAGTCATGCCTCACTTTTTTGCCTGCCCCAAGCCCTGTGTGACTTCCCCCTCTTCCACGGGTCCTGCTTTTATGACATGTGCGGCACCCCATCCTTCTTAGGCCCCATATTTCAGGGAAACCTGTTCTGTCGCACTTCATTCAGTCACTCTTTGCGGCTGAATCACCGCTTGGCATCACCACCGGGCGAACATGGCTTTCCACCCTTCTGCTGCCAAGAACACACAGTAGCTCCTGTGACACAGCTCCATTTCCTAGTGATGGCTTTCGGTGAACTCCATGCCTCCTTTTCACAGGCGCACACGCACGTGAATGCACACACAGAGGCAGGCAGGGGTTTGGATTTGAAGCAGCACTATTAACCAGGACACGCTTCCCCTTGCCTTGCCTTGCCTTGCCTTGCCTTGCCTTGCCTTGCCTTGCCTACAGTTCCTGGCCATCCACCAAGCTGACTTGGGCTGATGCGAGGTTTGAGTTCAACCATATCTGGAGGGCACCAAGTTGGGACAAGACCCCCACACCCTCTAGCATCCTCCCCCAGATTCGCCTTCCAGGACCTTGGTGCCCTCGACAGCAGTTATGGCAATCGCAGCCAGTGGGACAGCGTGGTTCGACTGTTGGACTAGGTTGTGGGAAATCCAGGTTCTAGTCCCCTCTGGGCCATGAAGCCCATGGGGTGCCTTTGGTCCAGTCACTGACTCTCAGCCTAGCCTACCTCACAGGGTTGTTGTGTGGATCAAATGGCGGGGAGAGGATTATGTAACCTGCCTCAGTTCCTGGCAGGAGGAAAACAGTGAGATATAAATGAAAGAAGTGAATAAAGCTTCTTCTCGGACTGTTTCCTCCCTCAAGGCAAAAACATTGTGAAAGTTGCCGAGGTGGCCAGAAAAGGCCAAACACGAATGGCGTCCTTTTGGCCACAGCAACACCCAGCTCAGCTACTCCAGGGAATAAGGGTGTTGGATTTCTTTCAGACGCTCACAAGGACTGTGTTTCGGGGGTGAACTGCACCAACATCAAAAACGTTAGCATGTTTGGCCTTACAGCTTTTATGGCAGGTAACCAAACAACCTCGGAGCCTGGGAAACCCCCGAACAAGCAGGCCAGGGGGCAAGGAGAGGGTCAGAACCACTCGGGGAACCCCTTGGCTGGAGTACGGGTGCAGGCAGGTCAGATCTGGCCCAGCCAGCTGCGGTAGAATCCCTTTGCCCTCAAACGCCTCCACGACTCAACAGACACTGTGCGTCTGTGACCACCTTTCAGCTCTTTCTTTCTTCCCAGGTGAGCTACAGAGCTCAGAAGGGCAGGACGAAGAGTGCAGTGGTGAAAATGGCGATGGTCTGGGTCATGGCGTTTCTCCTTTATGGCCCAGCCATCATCAGCTGGGAACACATTACCCATGAACAAATCCTGGCGGACACGGACTGTTACGCCGAGTTCTTCTGCAACTGGTACTTCCTCTTGATCGCCTCCATCATTGAGTTCTTCACACCCTTCATCAGCATCACCTACTTCAGCCTAAGCATCTATTGCAACATCCGGAAGCGGATGTCCAGCAGAACCAAGAACTTCCCGCTGTGCCAACAGGACTGTGAGATGTTGTCTGATGAGGAGAAGCAAGTTTGTACACCCTTTTTCATTAACGTGAAGAGGAAAAGAAATCAGGAGAAGCCAGGGAACCGCTCATTTTCCATGCCTTCTGTCTCGACGCTTAATGTTCAGAACCTCCAGCAGCAGCCGGTAGAGCTGAACCTCAGTCCAGAACTTCATCCTGTACAAGGGGATGCAGAGAGCAGATCCCCATGGAATGGTTTCTGTGCAGCGCTGAACTGCATGTTCAACACCAAGAGGAAAGCGGAGGTTGCCAATCCCACAGCCAGTCAGTCTAGACTTTCTCAGGATAAAAGAGTAGCCAAAGCGCTGGCCATCCTTGTCTGCGTCTTCGCTTTATGCTGGGCTCCTTACACACTGATGATGATTGTCAGAGCTGCTTGCAAAGGTCAGTGCATCCCCCAGGGTCTCTACGAAGCCACGTTCTGGCTCCTGTGGCTGAATTCGGCCATTAACCCAGTTCTGTACCCTTTGTGCCACATGAGCTTTAGGAAAGCCTTTTTTAAACTCTTCTGCCCAGGCAAGGCTAAAATCCACCCTCGACGTCTTACCTGAGAACTGGTGAAGCAAGTCCATGTTGGACATCGGTGCATTTGGCACCACAAAATAATGTTAGCCATTTGCCTCACCAAACAAGCAACTTATCCAAGGTAGAAAGATGGCCTTGGAAAATGTTTGAGACCTTGGGAAGCATTCATCTGGACCTTTGTATGACTGCCGCAGAAATTAACAAAATTTGAGACTATATAATATTTTGAAACTTATGCCTTGGACTGGTATAGGTCTGCAATGAAAGCTAATTAATCCACATTCATGCTAGAAGCTAAAGATACTTTCAGGAAATCTCAACTTGCAAGCAAACTTTGTTTGTCTAAACTGGAACCTTCATTCCTAAGATTAAGTTAGCATAGCGTTGTTTTCTGTGTTAAAAGACTGTATTTTTTGGACATTGCATTGACCTACATGTGTTTTTACGCACATTTGCATACAAACATGATTTTCCTTCCATAAGTTGCATGCATAGTTCCCTGATGGTAACCTTTTGTGTGCAACTTCTGAGCGAAGATCTGTATTGCAAAACTTAGAAAAGAGCGCCATCCAAAGGAGAACTAGGTTCCAATTGGCCTATTTGCCCTGGAAATATGAATTAGGCCACTTTACTTCAAATGCCAACCAAATGAAATTCTCTCCCATCCCCCTGGGAGGGTCGGGATGCCATTTTCATCCCAAAAGAAAGAATAAAAGGAAGACAAGCATCCAGAATAGCTGCAGAGCGCTAACAGAGACAAGAAATGGCTAACTAAATGGATACCTTAAAATGCTCCAAAATGGCTACTGAAAAAGCCCTTTCAACATTATTTCGTTTATCCTGGAGCCTCAAGGGGCACATGGGCTACAAATGTCCTGTAGCTGCCCATGTCAGAAAAGACTTTTTCCCAGGAGTCGCTGTTCAGTTATTGTGCTGAGTTCAATGAATTAATCATTGAATTGAATTGAATTATTTTAAATGAAGCTATTGATTCATTTACATGCTCAGGCACCCTGAAGGTCTTACAGGCTTAAATGCCATGATCTCTGCCCCAGAAACCTCAACCCACCATCCTGGGAGAACCGGCATCTGAACTGGATGCACACCAGTTCGGATATGCAAAGCTGCACACCAATTATATCAACAAACTCAAGGTACTACACAGTCAATGCCTCAAAATACACATTTGTTGCCACTGTTTGCATGAGCTTAACTTGGATACCACTCTGGATATCTTCATAAAGCTGTATATAAATCTGCTGGGGTTCGGATTTTAATTTAAAGAATAGCATGTTCTTAGAATGAAGAAATTTGGTTAAAGTTTTCTTTTTAATTTTAATCAGCCTTTCTACGAGTCATTTTGCACAGATTAAAATTAGACTGCTTCAAAATGAGATATTGTCCGCTTTCTCCTTTTGTTCTCCATCTATGATATCTTTCAGGCAGCAAATTAAACACATTTTAATTCAGCCCAGCTATTACAGTCTAGCTCTCGCAGTTTAATTATTTTAATTGCTGCTTCTTATGATCACATTTAACTCCATTTAAAAATGTTTTTTAGCTTTTCCTATAAGCCACTCTGGACAGATGAGCAAGCCATAAATAATGTGAATTTCTTCCTGAATTCATAAAATGGCAATTGTGGCTTTGCTGTTACGACTGGAGGTTTGCTTACACTGTGAAGTTCTCCCTTTTGAATAAACTGGGACACATTCGGTGTCTGCAAAGCACTAGGGTGGACTTCAAGTGCCATCATCCCTGGTCAGACCTGATAGAGGTTGAAGTCCAACATTACCTGGAAGGCCCAGCCCTCCTGTAGAAGCATCCTGCTTTCTATTTTTATTTTTTGTATTTTAAAAGCAATACCCAGGGGCAATATACAGAGTAAGTGCACTATACACATTAAATGTAATATACTGTTCACCATCAGGCTTGCCCCCTCCCTTGACTGTGCCAGTAGTGATGCGATGGCAGAAACGAGCTTAATGCCTGCAAATTTGGATGAGACAGCGAAAGAGAGCTGGAACAGTTTGAAAGCTAAAGTATCTTCCATAACCAGAGGCGGAGGATACACAGCCTGTTTAGAGCAAGACAGATGATAAGCATCTCCCCTTTCCTCTGGCTGTGCGCTGCTCAGGTGCATTTGACTGATAGTTATGAGGCGTCAGTAAGCTGCACTACAAAGGCCTCGGAGCTTATTTAGCTGAAGAGGCTCTTCTAACTGGGAAATACTGAGGGTAGAACTAACGGTATGTCTACAGTTCAGCCCCTGGGTTGTTGCTGTTGCTAGTCGCAAAGTCGCATCTGACCCATCGTGACCCCATGGACAACATTCCTCCAGGCCTTCCTGTCCTCCACCATCCCCCGGAGTCCACCCAAGCTCACACCAACTGCCTCAGTGACTCCATCCAGCCACCTCATCCTCTGCCGTCCCCTTCTTCTTTTGCCATCAGTTGTTCCCAGCATTAGACTCTTCTCCAGGGAGTCCTTCCTTCTCATTAGGAGGCCAAAGTATTTGAGTTCCATCTTCAGGATCTGGCCTTCTAAAGAGCAGTCAGGGTTGATCTCCTCTAGGACTGACCGGTTTGATCCCCTTGCGGTCCAAGGGACTCGCAGGAGTCTCCTCCAGCACCACAATTCAAAAGCCTCAGTTCTTCAGTGCTCAGCCTTCCTTATGGTCCAGCTTTCACAGCCATACATTGCAACTGGGAAAACCACAGCCTTGACTATATGCACTTTTGCCAGCAGGGTGATGTCTCTGCATTTTAGTATGCTGCCTATTAGCACCTGGGACAGGTGACCAAAAAACCCCTTCTCTGCCTCCCTGCATTCAAAGGATTCCACCACAGGTGGCATACCTGCCTCCCCCAACCTGCCCTCCAGGAATTTTGACTGCAACTCCCACCCCAAGACTATTGCCCACACAGCCTGGTGCTGATGTGAACTGTAGGCCAACATCATCTGAAGAACAACCCAGCCTGGGGAGGAGAGTGAAGCCAAGGGACGATGGCTTTGCACGCGAGAACCCCCATCCTGGTAGGTCACCACCGTCTGCCATTGAGTGCCAAGCGCCTCTGATGAGATTCACCCACGGTCAAGTTGCGGGTGGGTGCGTCCTCTCTTCCCTTCCTTCCTGGCACATCCCAAGGGGTACAGTCAAGAGGCACGAGGCCTCTCCGGCAGCCGTGCTTTTCAGCAGCCAGGGGCTTCCCAAGACCCCTACCATGCAGAGGTGCTTCTGTCCAACAAGTAGCCTGATCAAGCAACCCTGCCTCCCGCTTTGGCACTCAGATCCGGAGTTGCTCCCGATCTGCCCACACCGATCGGGGCAGAACCACCAAGAGAACGTTCGCTGCACCTCGTGTTTGAAGTTTCTTCTCAGGCAGGTGGCTTGGATGCATCCGAGTCACCTGGTGTTGCTGCTCCCAAATCAGGGCATCCTGCTGTGGCGTTCAAGAGCAGACCTGCGCATGGGCAGAGGTCAGGACACCCATCAACCATGCACTGGGGGCTCCGGCCAAGCACACTGTCTGGCTAGTTGCTCTTACAAAAGAGCTTGCTGTTTCAGGGGCTTGAGCCATGGAGCGTTCTGTCCATTGTCTGAGTTCTGGTGAGACAAACTGCAGCAGAATCCACCCCAGAACAGACCACCATGTCTCACCCCGATCAAGCCTAATGGTTCGGCACAAAGTCTGGGCCTGCAAACCCAGTTAATCTCTCTTATTGATTGATCCTGGTCAAACTTCCCCAATAGGGCATTCTCTGGGTGTGGTGGACTCTGGTTCCCATCAACCCCAGCCAACAAAGCCCATGCATGTGTGTGATGGGATATGTGATCCAAAACACTTGGAGGGACATCATGAGGTTTTCCTTGTCCACGCCTCTTTCAACTTTGCAAGAAAGCAAAGTCAGTCCTTCTACTCAGCAGGAGATGCTCAGAGCCAAAACTGTTAATAACAACTTTATTGTTTCACTGGTGCAACTCATGATACAAAGTAGAACTGTGTAATGTGTTTCCCCTAATTTTACAGTAATGCAGGTTATACATAGACTATATAAACCACGATCTATTAGGTCTGTGTTGTTGTTGGTCTTAATACTATGTGGAAGGAAAATTTCTTGATAAATATGCCCCGTGCACATTACTGGCCCTTCGATGAGTATCAGAGCTTCCATATGTAAAATACCGCTTCTGGGTTTTCATTTTGTTTTTCTGAGCATGGTGCTCTCAAACTCCAAAAACATGCACTAATATACTGGGGGAAGGGGTGTGTCTTGGGTGGGGAAGCTGAGAACCTGCAATAACCTTGAGTTAAAAAAAACCGAGGAAGCAGAAACCAACCTAACAAGAAAATGTTCTTTGATTCCTCCTGTAAAAATAAAAGCAACACATACATCTAGAACACTTGCAGATGGAAAGCCAGGTTAGACATTGGGACACCGAACAGAAACAAATTAGAATGCAGGGGGAGAAGAGGGGAAGGGAGACAGCTGCACAGCACGTGAATGTTAAAGGAAATGGCTTCACTCATGCTGAGGTCCTGATGGGAACCTACCAAGGCCGCTGATCCAAACGGCAGGACAATTTTGAATGGCAGCGTTCAGAAGCGCAGCACCGAGCACTTTGCACATTTATGCAAAAAAGAAGGGTGAACATAGAAGCCTAACTTGGCACTTCCCAAAGGCACAAATCTATGAACTCTAGCATCATTAAAAAAAATCCTCATGTACTGTGTTGCAAATGGAAAGGTCACCGATCCGTTTACAGTAGCGGCGTGCGAGAGGCCTCCTCTTAAATGACCAGCCCTTCATAGAATGGTCCCTCAGTTTCCGGAGACTCCCTCCTAAGGCGCAGATGCTTCAGCGTGTTGTCAAAGTGTTTGTTAATCTGTTCCGTCTCCTCAGTGGATTCCAGGTTGGGGAGGTCTTCCTGGATCTTTTGTATAAGCTGATTCAAAACCTGAATTGTCACCTAGGTATGCAGACAGAGAGGGAACCAGTCAGGCATAAACCAAGAATGCCAAGAATCTTTTGGGCCCCATGGGGTGGGCCAAACCAAGCATGTACGGTAACTTGACACTTACTGCCTCGTTCTCCTTTTCGTAAAAGTAGATGTATCTGTTGAGAATCTCTATGAAAAGCTGGACTTGGAGAGAAGGGTCCATGCACTGGTTTGCTATCTTCAGGGCCTTCTTCAAGCACTCCATGACTCTTTTCCCTCCATGAAGCTGCACAGAAAGACGAACAGGTTACGGGCGCCCGCTAAGGACATGCCGACCACAACCCTGCCCAGCCCACGAAACAGCCTCTGGTCGTGCACCCAGCTCAAGATCAGAGAAACGGTGCCTCTGTCTACGGTGCAGAAGGGGAGGCGGCACCCTTCAGCCCCTCTGGAGGAGTAAGCCCCCTGCGAGCCCCGGGCCTGCTCGGACCTCTTCTCCATTCCTGTCCGTGTTCCGGCCAGACCAGAAGAGGTGAGCACAGGTGCTGACCGCCCGGCACTGGTCGGGCTTCTTCAGCAGCTTGGAGGCCGCCAGGGCGCACTGCGTCCTCAGGGGCTCGTGGTTCTCCTCGCCAAAGCACTTCATCCTCTCAAACGTCCCGATTATCAAGGTGATGGCGGCCAGCTGTGCTTTGGAGTCGCTGATTTCATCTTCGTACAGAGAGAAAGCCTGATCCGGAGAAGAAGTGAGAAAATGAGGCGGTCTGGAGGGCAGGAGCGAGCGGGGGGAAGGAGGGAGGGGAGCCAGGCATTTTGATTACCGCGTCTTTCAGTGGCATGCAATTGTTCTCCCTTTCTGCAAAATGAAATATTCCTTCGAACGCTGAGCTAGATTACTGGCAAGCTCCCTGGTCAAGGGAGTATTTTGGGCCATGTTTCTCTGGGGGAACCACACAAATGAAGGAGGCCACATGGAAATGTGGTGGAGTTTTTGTAGCTGCAGTTCCAGTTCTGCCTTCCCTGGGATCCTACTGCACAGCGCTTTCATGTTTCATTTTACAGGGTGGGCTCTAGAAGGGATTCAAGGCTTTTTTGTGGAGTGGTGGCACTTTGCAAGTGTCAGGGGCACTCCCAAAATGACTTCTGACAGAGAGGACTTGGCACCCAGAGCTGAACTGCAGTAGGGGCCTGTAAGGCCCTCGAGTCCAGCCCCCTGCTCTGCTTCCACATGTGGTCGCCCATCCGGCTGCAGGCCCGTGCCTTTCCGGCTTGGCAAAGGTGACTCTGCATGCAAGTCCGACGTGAAGCTACGTAGGCATGGAAAGCAAAAGGAAAAGTTGCCTGCCAGAGAGATGAAGTCCAAGGCTTCCAACCACAAAACCTCTTTCAAACCTGCAGCTTTCGACACAGCACCTATTTCTTAGGAAGCAAGCAGGTAAGGCTCTGAGACAAGTCACTTGGCCGAGAACGCCATGTGGGGACTAAAGGGACTCTGGGAAATAAAGATGGCTCCACAAGTAGACACCTCACTTTGCAGCGAGTCCACTGCCCAGTCATTTTGCTTTTGTGTTGTGTGGGTGGTTTTACTACGAAGCTTAGGACCACAATACCTGACACCGCCTCTCCTGACCACCCTCTATCCAGACACTACTTTCATTTATCCAATTTTAAAGCATTTCTATACTGTTTGAGTAGCAGAAAGCTTATGCAATCGAATTACAATATACAAAATCCAACCATCAGAACAGTTAAAAACAGATTCACCTGCCATAAAAATTTCCCTGCACAATAAAATTTTAGCAGGCCTATACAGTAACACCACCAACATACCATACCATACCATACCATACCATACCACACCACACACCACACCACACCACACCACACCACACCACACCACACCACACCACACCACACAACACAAGATACTACAACCAAAGTCTAGGGCCTGCTCTGACCGCCAACTCCAAGGGAAGCTCAGCTGGTGGCGATAAGGGGAAGGGCTTTCGCTGGTGCCCCTCAGTTATGGAATGAGCTGCCCACTGAAGCCCACCTGGCGCCAACCTTGCTATCTCTTGAACACACGGTTAAGACTGTCGTCCACCGCAAGGCATTTGTTAAGTTTACTGGAGCTTTGTTAGTTGCTCAACCAAGTTTCAACGAATTCTCTCAAGTTACGGGAATTTTATGTGTGCTCTAAGTTTTGTATGGCAACCTTTCCTTACAACATGGTGCATTTTAGATTGCATCTTTAATGGATCCCTGGAAATTGCCCAGAGCGTTTCAGCTACTGGGCAGAACAGAAGACAGACAAATAAACAAGCTCTCACAAAATGCCTGCCAAAGCCAGGGGCCTGGCATGAAGATCGCCGTGACCAAATGTGGCGAGACTAACCAAAACATCAATTGCCCATGAACAGACCAGAGATGGGACCTGAGCAGCGAAACAGCAAACTGCTCTTTTGAGCACAAACACGGGTGTCATCGAAGGAGGCATTCTGCACCATCCCAGGCTCTTGCTTTTGCTTTCCTTTTAATTAAAAAGCACCTTAGGGGGAAAGATCAAAATCAGGAGGCACAGAGAGCCTCACAGCATTGGAAGAGATGCTCAAAGGCAACCCGAGAAATTCAGGTACGTTCTTACATTCAGTGCCTGTGACTGTGACAATGCATTCATCTGACAAAGCTAAAACCAGCGGGCTGAGGCACCTCCAAGGGCATACAGGTACGTTTAGACAGAAAAAAGTTCTACTACTCCTTGCATTTTTCTGTCTCAGCATGTGTAAGATTGTCCTCTAACTGTGTTAGATTGCAGTCCCTGTGAAAACTCAGACTCTTCTTCATATCCACAAGGAGAAACTGGCTGACGGCCTCACCTGCGACATGAACTCATAGGCCACCGTTTCATGGTTTTCAAACCCAATTTCCCCCGCGGCCAAGGCCCCCTGGAGGAACAGCCGAAGAGGAAGCTCTGCCAGTTCAGCCTTGATCAACGCGCTGATCGTTTGGTGTGCAAAGGTGAAGATTTTCTGGCATTTCTTTTCCCATTTGTCATCCTACCAAACGAAGACAGAAAAAGTCAAACCAATGAAAGCAGAAAGAGCCGATCAAAGGGGAAGAAGAGGACTCACTCGGTTCAGCTGCAAATTACCCTCCACCCCAAGTTATGCTTTCGGTGAAAAGAACCCAAATTTTGAAGATGGCATAAAATAAACCAGCTTTATTTGAAATAAAATGCATTATTTTAAATTAAATAAACCTCTTTAAATCTAGGTCATAGTTATAATCCCACACTGCTAATAGCTTCTTTACTTCTGCCCAATTTATTCTGTTCCTGAAAGTGTAGGTTTTACCCCTCAGCCACTGAGCAGGGCTCTTCTTTAAATCCCTCTTCAAGTATAAACTTGCTGTTCGTGCTTTTTCTGCTCAGCTGCCTCTGGTCAGCCCCCTGCAGCTCATGTGGTGCAGTGGTTAAGAGCATGGGACTGGGCCTCAGACGAACTGGGTTCTAGTCTCCGCTCGGCCATGGAGCCAACTGGGTGACTTTGGGCCAGTCACAGCCTCTCAGCCCAACCTACCTCACAGGGTTGTTGTTGTGGGGATAAGATGGAGGAGGAGAATGATGTAAGCTGCCTTGAGCCCTTTGTAGGAAAAAGGCAGGATATAAATCACAATATAAATAAAAATATAAATAAAATGTGGCTGTGGCCAGGAGTGGGAGGAAAGAAGCGCATCCTAGAAGCACTGTGGGTCGCTCGTTCACTCACCACTTTAGAATTCTCCTTGTAGCGAAACGCAAGCTGGTAGGCGGCAAAAACCAGTGGCGGCAACGTGAAGCGGATGCGCTGGTTCCCACCTGCACCGAAATGCTTCCGGGCAGTGTTTAAAATCTAAAGGAACAGATGCGGCACACATGAGGCGTCAGGGCTGGATCATCCAAGCCGGGCATGCAGAGAGGAATTGTTACAAAGATATTCATGCAGGGGCAGGGTTGCCCATGCTCTGCCCGCCTCTGAGTGACCCCGTGCCCACTGGGACTCCCGGGCCCAGCCCCTGACACAGTATAGTTCCTATACACTCCTCTATAGTCCCCATATGTCTGTCCACTCCATTCCCCCACAGCAGAGGGAAAGGGAATGTCAGTGACAAGACTGCAATGCTAAGACACTCGTTCAGAAAGTCTGTCCCTTACGGTTGAAGCTGTTTCTGCAGGTTTCAGCCACAAAGACTGTAAAATGGGTGTGTGTGAAGGATAAAATAACTCTGTGCTGCACACTCCCAGAGCTCTTAGTGTGCCAATTTGGATAAGTTCCCTAGGGCCTTATTTCAGGGAGCAGGAGACAAAAGCGGGCCGTGCAGCCAAAAATGCAAGCAGCTCTCATTTTAAGTGCTTCCTGCCAGCACATTTGAGCTTTAAGCTCCTGGAGCAGGTTGGCCTTTTTAGAAGATGGAGAAAGTGCACAAAGGCTGGAACCCACCAGACTCTCCATGCTTGGGGGGAATGGGGCATTCAGCCCAGGAGAGGCCCAAGGAGCTGGACTGGGAGACCGGATCTGAGCCCCAGGCGTGTGATGCTGAACCCTTTCACGGGAAGCAAGGAGACCCTTGAAAGATGCAGCCTGGAGACTCCTAAAAGCCATACCAAATACTGTTGGTTGGGATCGTCAGAACGAAGGAGGTGAATAAACCTCCCCACCAATCCCTGCTCATCAGCAAAATCTTCAGGGTCCGGATCTTCAGTCGGCTGGTCTGGCTGGTCCTGGATCAGTGTCGAGACAAGATTCATAATGGCGTCCACCTGCAGAGGGGAAAGGGCAGAGGAGCGGGCTTGGTCCAGCTCTGTGGTGCTGAACATCAGCAAGGCCACAGGCCTGGCTGGATCACGGAGCTGCAAGCAGAAGCCCACCCATGCAGCGGGGTCTCCTCCAGCAGCCCACCCTCTGCCAAAGCAGCCCCAGAGACAGGCGAGGGCCCTCTGGACTGACACAGGGCGCCAGGCCGCTGCCTGCCTGGACCTTCTGCTTTGCCCAAATGTGGTCATCGGAGGCGCCTTCTTTCCTTCAGCCCAGTGCCGAAAGCCCTGACCGCGCGGCCTTCTCTACCTGGTCTTGAGAGACGATTTCTGTGTTGTAATCCAGCACGTTGCTCAGCACGTAGCAGCTCATGCTCTTCCTGGATTCGTAGTCGAAATACTCAAAGAGCGGGTGGAAATGCTTCAGCTTCAGGACGGTAAGGATGTTGTTGTAGGTGTCCACAGGGATTTTCAAGAGCCTCGTCAGCTCCTTTGAAACGGCGCTGCTGGTGGCGATACTAGAAAGACGTAAGCGGAGACGGTTGGGCTTCAGCAATCACCGAGGACCTAAACCGCAGGTCCTTTTGCTCAGTCAGCAACACAAGCAGCAGAGAATCTGTGGATGGGATCACCAGGAAAGCGCCAAACCCCACGGTCCCTGCTTCGGCTTGCCTCCGTGCCAGGCGTTCTCAGAATTCTATTCCCGGGACCCCGGAGAGCAGAAAGGGCTGACTTCTCTTTCATGCCATACCGGAAGAAGCCTGTCACTTACTGTTCCAGGTTGAGCTTGTTGAAGATCTCCACTGTCGTCTCCAAGACTTTGTCCACGTAATCAACACGGTCCGGGTAGCACTTCATAGCCAGGTTAATGAGAGACACTTGCAGCGAGACCACGTCCTCTGAAGGCATGTCTTGCCTAGACTGAAAGTCAAAGAGTGCCGAAGTAGATGGGAGAATGCAGGTATGGACATGCTCAAGCACTGGGCAGTACAGAATCCTACATGGAGGTGCAAGTAGCATTTTCAACTACCGTGCACTAGTGAACGGATCCCGTTTTCCCTGGGTGGGGATATCCCTTGGTTTGTGACAGCAAAGCCTTCGAGAAAGGCTACAATGCTGGAGGCATCCAGTGTGAGCGAAGGGCTGCCTGCTGGCACCCTTAATATGGCCCCTGCCATGGGGCACCCCCTAGGGCCACCCTGCAGAAGGCACCTGTCCATCCACCCCTCAAGATGGCAGGGCTGCCCCACAGCAGGAGGCAGTCTTCTAACTCAGGTCCTCGGTCTTTGACGCCTCCACCAGGTCCATCACTTGGTCTTAGATCAGGTGATAGTTCAACCCGAGGAGGAAGTCCCCCTGGCAGCTGCACTGGACGACCCCTGCCTCAGCACCACTGATGGGGATGAGGAACCAGCACTCAGCTCACCTGGATGACAGTGGCCACTTGCTGGGAGAAAATATCAAAGAGTTTAATATCTGCGGGGATGCCCGGTCCGTCTTCTCGGTGAGCAAAGAGCGCGAGCCTGAAGCCAGAAAACGGACATTTTGCAAAATGTGGCATGCAAAACCATCTCGCAAAGAAGAGGCTCTCCACACCAGCCCACGTGCACTCGGCTGCAGCCTTGCCGCTGAGCCAAATCGGGGCTCTGCGGACCATGCTAACCGGTCTTTACAGAGGATACACCAATTCGACTATCTCCCATCATGGAACTCAAGGTAACGGACCACGGCCAATGGTCCCCCATCCAGACACGGACCACACCAATACTTTCTTACTCTCAACAAGGTAACTGCATCATAATAAATTCAAGCTGCAGCAACCCAGATTCAGGCTGGACATCAGGAAAAGCTTCCTCACTCTCAGAGCAATACGACAGTGGAACCAGCTGCCTGGAGAGGTGGGGGGCTCTCCCACATGGGGGTCATTCAAGAAGAATCTGGACAGCCACCTGAGTGGGATGGTGTAACATGGTGTCCTGCAACAGCAGGGGGTTGGACTGGATGGCCTTCATGGCCCCTTGCAACTCTACTATTGTATGATTCTATGGGCTGTCAGACTATGCCCAGGAACCACTGGCAGAACTAAGCCAACCAACTGGACAAGGTTACAATACAGGATTGTACTCAAGAGCATCCCTCTGGTAATGGAAGTTGCTCCAATCCAGTGGAGACTTTCACTGGAAGAAAGGGGGGGCAGTGATTTCCACTAACTCCCTGCAGCCCGTTCCAGCATTCCCCAAATTTGCTTCCAGGAGCTGGGAACCAGCACGAGTTGCGTGAAAATTCTCTTCTGCCCCTCTCCACTCATGACCAAAGTGCTTTGCATCATGGGTATCAACACTGCTATCTACACAGCTTCCCTCTCAGTCTTTCCGTGCAATTCTATTTGTATTGTGCTCATCAGATATTCCCCAGCTCACACTTAAGTGGGCAGTCATTATATAAAGGCCGGAGGGAAGAGGAGGATTATTCATGCCCGCATCTCTCAGCTATGCTGCAGGGAGCACTGGATGTTCCAAGAGGGAAATGGGGAAGAGACTCACAGGAGAGAACAAGAAAGCGACCAAAGGTTGCTCGCACCCCCTTACATAATGGCACTTGAAGGCTATATGACTCAGACTATAGTCGTCAATTCAAACCTATCCCTAGACAGAGAGAGAGGGGTGAAGTTCACTTCAGAAAGCTGATTCACCAATCTCCCTCTCTCTCCCTCCCTCTCTGACACACACACACACACACACACACACACACAGGACGGTGGGGACTTCCTTCCTCTTTTTAAGAAATCACACTTCTGCAAATATTTCTTTGAAGTGGAACTACATTTTAAAACCCACATAGCTACACAATCATACAGTCACTGGGTTTACATGAGCAGGGCAAGAAAAACGACTGTATTGGATGAGTTCTGATAGAAAAATTGTAAGGAACTTAGTAATGTTCAACGAGGTAGTATAGTGAACTTTCCCATTGTCCAAAGCCGGGATAGTTTCTTGAAGCCATACTAAGGCTTTGTGACCTCCAGCTTGTTCGGAACAGCACCAAGGATAATTGTCTTTAAGCTGCCCTCCCCATTCTGGAGATAAGGGCTGTTTTAGCTGTGAGAACAAAACTGTTTGCCTTCTGAAGCAATTTCGCCCACACCCAGGAAAAGGGGGTGTGGGATTACAGCCTGTGTATAAACTGATAGATTCTGAAATAGGGGGATAGAAAACTTTCTAAACTCCATGGCATGAGGTATTGGCGTTTGTTCTCATGTCAGACTCTGTTCCCACTCAGCTTGCGTATCTTCATCTTCCATACTTCTGCTCCAGCATCTGCAACCTTCCTCATCCTTGGCTTGCTCCCTTCATCTCAACACAATTAATTATAGTCCCTTCCTTCAGCCAGAGAATCCCTTCTTCCTCTGTTTATTCAAAACTTCCAAGTCCATCTTACTTCCGGCCAACCGTGCAGATCCTTTTCTAACCCCAAAGAGGAAGCTTTCAGTCACATTCCTACTTGCACAGAAGCAACACTGTTTAAAATGTGGTGGCTTATTGCCTCTTTTCCAGACAAACAAGGTTCTCATGCATTCTGCTGACATCACAGGAGTTCCACCAATGGCTTGGAAAATGGCACTGTAAGCTTTTTAGCTTACGGTGACTCGCTAATGGAGGTGAAGGACACAGAAATCATTACAAGACATTTGTAATAGAAAAAACAGTCTGTGCAGAGTTCTTTCCCTGTTTGGATAAGCCTACGGATGCCTACATCTTGCTTCTTACGTACCTGTCAATTAATGCAATAATTATGTTTTTCACATTCACGTTTTGATGCAACTCCGCACACGCTCGTAGAAAAGGATTCAAGGTCTGGAGGTGAAATTCATCTGGAAAGACCTAGATATGGCAGGAGAAAAGTCAGCTGGCAGGTGGGTCCAGTAAATATTTTCCTCTCTCTCTCTCTCTCTCTCTCTCACTTGCTCACTCACAAGAGAAACAAGTTTGCCAAGACCATCCAACTTTGCAAACAACTCTTCCGAATAAGATGCATGGATGGTCTGCCCCACATTCCAGTTTTAGTTATTTGAAGAATGTTGACAGCTTGGAAATTATTACCAAGCAGATTCCAAGATCAAGCCAGGAAGGCGTTTGCTCTCCCAATTTGCAAACATTCCCTCAGCCAACCACTCAGAAAGTGTTTGGACACACAGCTGTTTGCAAATCCAAGGAAGCAGGCGGGGGGTTTTGCAACACCCGGAGCAGGTTTCCCTCTGGATGTACTACTTCTGCATGCATTTAATGTGACAGAGAGCACCGGGTGGTTTCTTTAGCCCCTTCCTTTGATTTAAAAGTGGTGCAAACTTTGCGGGGGGGAGGGTTCCAGGGGTCAATGGTTGGGAGGAGAGAGACAATCTGCAGCCAAAACTCTTTAAACAGCCACTTCTTTTCAAATGAGATTTAGCCATTTTTGGCTTTCATGGTGGGAGGGAACCAGCAAAATTTTTGTGGCCCACCCCTGCTCTAGCCACAGGATTGTACTGATGGCTTGAATCCACTTTCAAGGTTTGCAGCCACTTATCTATTGATGGACTGATTTTTATACTGCCCAACGGCCGAAGCTTTCTGGACAGTTCACAACAAAAATACAATAAAAACACACCATATTAAAACATCGTAAGAAGTTCACAGTACAAAACACAAAACCAAATTTGAAACAGCCCCATCCAATTATCCACATTTAAGTCATACCTAAGTATCTCCCTCTCTAAAGAGAAATGAGAGTTCATACCAAGAGTTGGCCTACTTGGAAAGCAGTGAGACAACATTTCTGTGGCTTGCAATTAGGACTGATGTCCCCTGCCTGCTTAGTTGTGTCACCAGAGTAAATAAATAACCGATGCAGAACATGAATCCTTGCAGGAGTGGCTCAGGGGCGAAGCACTGCAGAACATCCCAAAATTGAGCCCCGGCATCTTCGGGAAGGGAAAGAAACACACCTGGGTGAAGTTCTGCCTGTCGCTCAGTGTTCATACTGGGCAAGATGGATGGACCACAGCCCGGCCTGGCATAAGGCAGCTTCCTACATCTAGGCTGCAGACGGAGATTCTGCAGCTGGGTGGTCCATTTTCAGGCTGGCCGAAGGCATAAGCTCATCAAGAAAAGTTCTCTCCTTTGGGCCCCTCGCTTTTGACAAAACTCTCACTGTTGCGAGTTATGCAGCAACACCATGTGGCCAAACTTACTTTTGTTCAGGCCCTTTAGTTCAATATGGGGGCAGTTCCAAGAACTAAAACCCTCTCTTTGAGCACAGATCAAACAATTCTAACATGAGTTTTGTTTTTTTAAGCAGCTTTTGAGTTTGGACTTAATCCTGCCTTTCAATGTAGTGGCTATCCCTGAAGGCACATCTAAAACCATCTTCTTGTTCCCAATGGGCAACATCCAAGTTAAGCTGCACTTAGACTTTGAAATTAATGGAATTAAGTTATACATACCCAGTCACTGTTTTATGTATCAATTTGTGGAAAGGTCTAGGGACCAAATAAACACGTTGACTGTGTTAAGCCTCGTTGGTTTGAATAGGTCCATTCTAAGCAGAACTTACAATGGATGGTGGGGTTGGTGACAAAGGAAGGGATGTGATGGCTGGATTTCCTAAAAGCTCTCTCCGACGGCTGATACTGAGTATTACAATCCTTCAGGGCATTAGTCATTTGCTGCATTATGAGCCAGAACAGAATCCATCCAACAGACACATTTTTCTCCGCAAATGCTCAGCAAGCAAGTAGCAGCAATAACACACTCATTACAAGCCAAGGGGCGCTCACCCACTGCGACACCTCCCTGCAGACAATTTCTGCAACCGAAGATGCAGAGGCTGGCTCAGAGTGGAGTCCCAAGGCAGCGGCTACCTGCAAGTTGTTCCTGAAAGGTTGGGCAAGACCTTCTTGCAGCTTACCTGTATGATACATTCCATGAGATATTCCTGAGCTAATGCATCCCTGCAGTTTACAACTTGCTCCAATATGCCCGTCAAGACGATCTGGGAACAGGAAAGACAAGCATGGAGTTAGTTTTCCTCTCTCCTGGCCTTTGCAGCCTTACCTATCCTGTTTCTCTGAAAATGACCTAACCGGAAAATAAGCCCTAGCATGATTTTTCAGGATGCCTGTAATATAAGCCCTACCCCCAAAATAAGCCCCAGTTAAGATCGTCAGCCAGATGGACACATTTAGTACATCCATTGCAACACAATTTGGGGTTTGGAGAGTTATGATGTTCCAGAAGATGGAATGACTATATTTGATTAAATGTAATTTTTGTACATGAATAAATGAATAAATGTAGATTGTTGTACATGGAAAAATAAGACATCACCTGCAAATAAGCCCTAGTGTGTCTTTTGGAGCAAAAATTAATATAAGACCCATTTTTTTTGGGGGGGAAACACAGTATATGAGCTTGTGGTAACTAATTTCTACTAAATCAGAAGTGCAGAACTTCCTTCAGCTCAAGGCCTAAATTTCATTTCAGAGACTGCTAGATGAATAGAGTTGAAAGGGGACTAGAACAAGAGCGCTGAAAAGGTTCTAATGCCATGAGGTCCAGCCACCCCGCTCAACCCAGGCCTCCAGGTTGAAGCATCCACGACAGAGGTCTGTCCTGCTTCATCTGCGGTCCAAGCTCAGGGTTCTTTTGCCAGCTTGCTGACCGACTGGACATTTTTCCTGATGTCCAGCTAGTTTGGCTTCCTGACTGCAGCTGAGCCTCTTCTTCCGTGCCCTGAACTCTGGGATGATCGAAAAGGGATGCCATCAACTCGCATACTTCCCATGGCTGAACCAGCGGGGACCAAGAGCGGAAGGAAGCCCAGCCAAGACACTGCTCACCTGCTTGTACCTCTCCACGTTGACGCCCTCCAGCTGGCTGAGGCGCACCAAGTTGGTCCCCACCAGGATTCTCAGCTCCTGCCTCTCGCGCTCCCGCTTCTCGCGGTCTCGGCTGTGCCCTTGGTGCTGCATTCGCACCCAGAGCTTATTCATCTCAGCAAAGTTCAGCAGCACAAAGTCCATGGAGTCGCTGATGTCCCCCGTGGTCTCTTCACTGCCGGGCAACAGAAGCCAATGAAAGAAGCATGTTTTTACCCTTGCCCAGTTGGTGTGCAACTACGATGCCATATGGTTTTAATGCTTTTTCCAATTTTTATATAAATGCTATAGCTATTATGCTTTTCGCTATAATTCAATGTATGTCACGATGTATTTTAATTTGTTTCATTTTCTTGCAAGCCACTTAGAGGTCCTTTTGAACAGTTAGTGGCATATACTTCCATCAAATAAACCATAAGAAATAAATGCACGTGGTGTTTCCGAAGAGCCGTCCTTCAGACCCAGCCCTGTTTTAGCTTCAGTGACGCTGCTGTACCCAACCCCTTCAGAACATGCACAGGGACTAGCCAACATTGAATCTCCAGTGCCTACAACTAAATACAAGCAGTTCCCATGTCACGAACGAATTCTGTTCCTTGGAAAATGGAAATTCTTCTTTAAGTTAAATTTGCATGCAGGTTGGATTGTGGGTAGTCAGCCCACCACATTCACTGGGTTAAGGGGTTTCCCATGCAAAGGGAAAAACCACACCTTTATCAAGCCCCCTCCCAACTCACCAGTGCTTCCGCTTTACAGCAAGGAAATGCTGGCAAGGTTTCCCTCTCCGGATGGGCAGGACAGGAAAGCCAGCTCTGGGGGTCACCTGCTCTACCCTTTCACTTCCTCTCTATGGCAGTGCTTTGGAAGCCTCCCTCTCTACCCTGTTGCTTCATCTCTCTCTATGGCGGTTCTTCAGAGACATCGCCCTCTCCCCACTTTGGCTTCCTCTCTCTCTGTGGTGATGATGATTTTCTGCAGGATTTTTTTAAATTAAAAGGACTCATGGCAGTTCATTTGTAAGTTCAGGTTGTTCATAACTCAGGGACTGCCTGGATGCACAAGGGACTTAAAGAGAGACCCACTTTCCTCCCACCAAGCATCTTACTCTGTCTGCTCTCCATCGTCAGGTAAGATGTTCCTTGTGCACTGCAGGAGGTAGTTGCGAAGAAACAAGCCCCTCAGAGGATGCTGGACACCACGGCACATTTCCACCAGGTCTTTTAGGATATCTTTCCTGGACTGAGGGAAGGACTTCACGTAGACAACCCCAACAGTTATGAGCAAATAGCTGAGAAGAGATGGAGACAGCTTGAAGGATACACCATTCCAAAAAATAAAAAATAAACAAAAATCCCACTATTGCCAAACTTTATTCAGTTTCATTGTTTGCACAGCCCAAACAGATCCACCCAAGCACAAGAGGGCTCGAAGACCCCAGGATGCCAAAGGAAAAAGCAAAGCAAAGCAGGGAACTCAAAACAACCCAATGAGATGAGTGTTCCCGCTGACCAAGGAACACCAGTTGGTGGGTGAGATGAATTTACAATCTAAAAGAACATGAGTCACAAGGAAAAGGATTGGGAGAGAAGAAGGAGGTTTATTTTTTGAAGTGTGATGGTAACACTTGATTCAGTTGTCCAGTTGGATGGGAATGTATCAACCAAACTTATATTTGCTCTCCATCTGTTGTCTTTCTGAGCTGAGCTATTTTTTGCTGGCCTGTTCCTCTTTTCTTTTTTTTCCTCTGCATTTTCTTTTCTTTTGAGTTCTGCCCTGATCTGTTTCTTCTCCCTGCCAATAAGGGCAAAATACTCAGGAACCCTTCTGGTGGTAGCGGAGGCAGGGACAGGTCTCCGCTAAAGCCCAAGGATGTCAGAGAAATCCACAACAGACTCAAATGTGTTTAGATTTCCCTAAATCTGACCCATGGATTTTGCAGTGCACCAGCTTCTTCTGAGTTGCAAAGATTCCATGGACATGAAGGCAGCCTTTTTAATTCCCAGAAGTGTACACAGGTTTAGTCACACAACCATGTAAAATTTTAGAAGACATGCATATCTCACAAAGCCTAAACTCTGAAAATGTGTTTGCACATTTTTTCAAAAAATGGGCGCAGGCATGAATGCACTAAACTGCATTCACTGACGCAGATTAGCACAAGCACACAGTAATTACTGCACACATGTGAATTAATGCTAATGCCAATGAGTGCACAGAGAGCAATATATTGGTAAGAAATATCCGATTCCATCCCAGAGTGGATGATGGCAGGAAAGTTGCCTGACAATCCATGAAACCAGACAGAACAGATGGGGTTACATCTGTGCATCCCTACAGGGGCTAGACGATGGTGGCCCATGGAACTGTACCAGCTTCCTCTCCCATTCCCTCAAAGCAAGATGTTCCTCAGGAATGGAGTGGAGTGGCCGGGATCCTGAAAATAGAACACTTGAGAAAGCAACATGCGGTTGCAGGTCTTGCAGCATAAAGTTTGGTGCCAGCATGCCCCTTCCTTCTGCAGTTCTCCAATTAAGTAACAACAAATTAAGTAACAAATTTAGCTCAGTCTGTTTTCTTTCCAGCCCCAACACACTTCAAAGGAACGCCAGAACATGGAAGCAGCAGCATCGAGATTCCTTCATCTGCAAATATCCCAAGGCCCTCCCCAACTCAGGTGAGTGGGCCAGTGAAGAATGCTAAAGATGCAAGCAACACTGCACGTTTAACAAAGATGAGATTGTACGGCTACTGGATCACACACAGACACACACCGTCGTTGCAATCAAAGCTTACGTCAACAGGCTGCAGAACTTGGTACGTTCTGGATGTGCTTAGCTGTCCTCTCTAGGCCACGGGTGGCCAGAATTCAGGCCCGTGGGATCTGCTTGGCAGGGGGCTGATGGGAGTTGCCGTCTAAAATGCTTGTAGGGCACCAGGTTGGAGAATGCTGGCAAATCCTATCGAACATCTACCCCTGAATTAGTACAGATCAGGGAACTAAAACTTCTCGGCATGGCCCCTTTACAACCCTGCTCAATGGTAACTAAGCAATATTGCCATTTTACAGGTAGGAAACACTGAGATGAAGGGAGATTGCTGTGCCTGGTCATATTCAAATAAGTAAAGATTTCAGTCTATGCTTTCCTTTGAATTTGAATTTTATTTGCACTCCTGGGAGTCAGAGCCACTGCAGGTCACCCCAAGATCTGCTGGTAGATTCTATTTGTTGCCTTCGTCTGCTTTATAAGAACCAATAGATATTACATCCCTCCAGCCCATCAAAAAGCAAGCCAACGAACAGTACAACAGCAAAAGTTAAGTTTTTGCTACAAGTGCAGAAGTTAAACTGGTGTGAAAACCCAGTGCAACTGGAGAATATAAATCAGAGGAAGGCAACCTGGCACCTTCTGGACAACAACTCCCATATCCCTGACCACTGGACATGCTGCTGGGGCTCATGGGAGTCAAGGCTTGACGGGCACCAAGACGTCTACCCTGATGCAGATTAACAGCTCCATGAGTGAAGGCGATTTCTTACAAGATGCTAATTTACTTACAGCCGCGGGATGATGTTTCCGGCATACTGGACCAGCTCATACAGGTCCGCCACCTTCCTTCCCTTAGCGAATTCGTCGGTCAAGTACACCTCCAGGTAATGCAGCTCATCGGAAATGGCCATGTCTTTTTGCATGAGATTAAGGATTAAGACCAGTGCAATGCAGTGGTGCAGCCACAAGTAATTTAAAAGTTTAAATATTTTAATTATGTTTTATTCCCAGTCGTGGATTATTATGGGTTATTATTTGCATTTATTGGCTGTTCTGTTTTTAAGCCATTCAGAGACATGTCATAATCGGATGGAATAAAAATACCCAAATGAATGAATGCCTGGTACCATCCAGGTGTAGCAGGAGGAAATGAACAGCCAGAATCTAAATGCAACAGGTGATGCAACAAACAAACACGGGGACGAAGCGAGCATTTCAGAGGGCAGCAAGATGAAGGCTGCGACACGACACGTCCCAACAGCTCCCGACCTGTTTGTACGCTTCAGCCGCTGCTTCTGCAGCTCATCCTCCCCCCTCAGGCCTGGGCAACGCAGCTTCCAATGCTGCAATACGCTAGTGGAACGACGACAGTGCAAGGGTCCAGCCTTCCAAGTTCTGTGTTTGTCAACTGGACCTCCAAGATTCACAAACCAGAGGCTTTTGCAAAAGGAACAGATCCAGTCGACACACTCCTGAACACTGCCCGACTGTTTCCATTAGCGGCAGCTAAAAAGCCACGCATCTTTGGCTTGGGCTGGTGGGGACATCTGACATTTTCAGAGATTAGTCATGGTTGCACTCACAAAATACTCCATTCCCAGAAGGCAAATTACCAAGACCAAAAGTAAAGGCGTGCTCAAGAGTGTAAGTAGCAGGCAGAGACGGGGCTTGAACTCTAAACAACCCTTGAGGTCAGCGGGGTGTTTTCCACCCAAGGAAAATGAGGTTCAGAGACAGCTGACTTGGCCGGAAAACCGTGCCGGGGGATCTGAGCCCCAAACACCCTTGAACCTTTCCAAAAAGGAGGGAACTCAGGAAAGTTCTGGAGCGCTCCATTCAGCAATGGGCATGGCCCAGGGAAAATGTAGTGAAGTCAAAATGCCAGCATACTTGAGCTTCAGGCTCCTAGCACCAGTGACGATGCCTTAGGAGAGACACATCTATCTTTGAAATGGGGGGGAAACCCATGCAGAAGCTGAAGGCAACCCAATGCGCAGTGGACAGGGGACACGAGGCCCTGCCCTCTGGAAAGGGCTGGAAAGGGACCGCAGGAAGGACAGAGGTGGCCCATGGTCCTGGCATTCCTCACCCCGATGTGTCAAGTTCACCTAGGGGCAAGGTTTCTCCTGCCTGCTGGAAGAGGATACAGAGTTCGTAGTAGCTCTTTGGAGACAACATGGAAGTCCGTAGCTCACCGAGCATATTCGAGGCATGTTTCAAGGCGTCCATTAACTTGTTCTTGTCCTATAAAACACATGGAAAGAAATTAAAGTTTCTGCTCGCCTGTCCCGTTTTAGAACCATGCCTTTGTATAGAAGAAACAGACTGATATGGGGTCACAGTTAACTTTCTGTAGCTCTCAGCAAATGTCAGTGGCTTGGGGCTTGTTTATTTGCTTGAAACAGAATCCCTGCCAGATCCACCTTCCAGCATAGCAGTGGAATCATCTATAAACACACCTCTGCCACCTTTTAACAGGCACTCAAGAAGAAGTTTTGCAGCAAGGGGGAAAGAGCCATTGCATACAAAACCCCAAAATAAAATTGCAGCAACAGAAAGGACAGTGGATTGAATCCAGGCTTAATTTTGTGCGCGGCAGACACACTGAAATCAATGGGGATTTTGTTTAGTCATGTCTAACTTGAGTTCCCCTGATATCAGTGGATCCTCTCCCACTGAAATCAGGAAATGAAGATGCCTGGTAGAACAGAAGCTGAGATTCTGTGCTTCACAAGTATCTTTGGAAGTATCTTAGAAAGCAGATATGAAATGGGGAGAGGCAGTCCTATGATGCAACCCACAGTTCTAAATTGCTCTGCAAACAGGATTTATGTTTCTATGGTGAGGGTGTTCAAAGATAGGCTGGACATGCACACGGTGGGCATGTCGTGAGTGGAGCCGGCTGGTGCCAGGGGTCAGACTAGATGGCCTGGGAGGCCCCTTCTGACTTGCTCTGCTTCTGTGTTCTATGTTTATATGGGCAAAGACACCTTGGCAGAGCACAGCTCCTGGGAAGTATTCTGAAGACACCCTGTGTCCAGGCCATGTGGGCAATAAACTGCATGCTGAATCCGAAGCAACCCAGCAAACTCGCATCCAGTTGGTCAAAGCAGCATTCTGCACCCTCTTAAAGAGGCAGCCAGGAATCCCATTCTGCCCTCAACTCAAACCTGTCCTTCTCTGCCATCGCCACTGCTACCCCGCAGCATGCTCAGGAGCTAGGCAGCAGAAAGTCCGCGCACGGAGCGATTCTCTGCTCCCTTGCACTGAGAAGCAGAAGGGGCAGCAGAAATAGCAGCGCAGGTGAGCACGGTGGATTGAGAGCAGGGAGACGGGAGGCAGAGGGGCAGAAGAATCAGCAGTGGGGATAAAAAAGGAAAAAGAGAAGGAAGAGGAAAAGGGGGGCAAGAAACAGGGAAGAAAAGGAGGCGAGACTGTGAGAAAATGTGCTCACAGTCCTCCAAAATGCCACCTGTTCTTGTTTGGATGTTTCCAGACAAGATTTAAGGCAAGGGAACAGAGTCTGAAGGGTCACATCCGTGGCTGTTTACAGCCTGCACTGTATTCTCCTGCACGACAACAACAATTACAGCAGTACTGCTGGGAAATAAGGCTTGTGAGGAGTGTGTATGTTGTGTCCAAGCAGAATCCCTTACTGTTTATAGTTTCAGAACAAATTGAAAGCTAAAAACAGTGTAAAGAAGACAGCAAAAGAAAATTCAGCAAGACTTTAACATTACCAACACGGAAGGTCATTACCTGGCACCAAAATGGTCACAAAGAGAGTGATAAGGGAATCTGTCTGGGAAGTCAGTTCCGTAACTGGAGGGCCACAAGCAAAAGGACCACTTGCTGGTAGTTCCCCACCTGACTTCATTTAGCAGGGGCACTACCTGAGGTTGGTTAAACCTGGTCTTCCAAAGCATTCCACTCACCCAGACAAGAACATGTCATATCAGCCTTCACCCCCAATGTGATTCCAAAATTCCATTTTTTCCACTGGAAAAATTAAAATAAGTCCTCATGTGGGTTCCCCACCTTTTCTGAATCAGCACAATGCACTGAATTTTCCTGCTTTGAAAATAAACAGATTTGACAGCTAACAGTGTTTACCAAAGCAAAACAAAAGTGATGGGGAAAGGGGAATGCCAGGGCTACTTACCAAACATCGCTTCATTTGGAAGGACTGGACTTTAACAGCCTGAATTGCTTCATCCAGGAGCTTCTCTTGCTCGTCTTGAGGAGACTGCTGTGTAGTCGGCTGGAAGGAGAGCAGAAAAGATCACGCTATCGTATCTGGGCAAGAGCACGAGTTCTTGCCCAGTCCCTGCTGCACCCGCCCAAAGCACTACCTGATCCTGCTCTGAGAAAGCCACAAAGTCGGCGGCGGCATGAAGCCAGCAGTGTCCTGACTTTGCTGCTGTCCAGACACACTTTAGCCAGCACATCACCTCTTGCCCTATGCCGGCCTCACGCAGCCAGTGATGCGAATCCCACCTCTTCCTTGAATTTGACTTAACCCCCTTTTAAAGCTGACCTCCCCACCCCCAGTACAACATCTCATGGCTGCAAACCCCTTCAGTTGATTCCTCATGCTGGAAAGAAGCAAGCAGAAGACATGCCCTGTTCACACCTCCCCAAATCAAACGTGGACACAATTGCAACTGGAGGCCAGGAAACATACATTTTCTCAGCTTGTGACGCATTCTGCAACCCCCACCCACTCCAAACCCACCCACTCCACACAAGCACAGCCTCTATCAGTATTATATAAAGAAGTTAGCCCAGGTGGTGTGTCTTGGCATTTTGTCTTTTCCATCTTGACAGAGGGATCCAGAAGGAAGTTGCATTTTTATTATGTACTAATATGCAAATAAGGCTTTATGAAGAGCAGGTTTGACGGGTCCCTACCCTAAAATTGAGTTTATAAACTACAACAAAGAGGAACAATCAAAGGAAGTGAAGAAAAGCAGCAGAACATGCAATTATTTCAATTGTCCCCAATTTGAATCTCCAGTTCCTTACCATTCACCTTGATATACTGAACAAAGAATGAACTCGGATGCTCATTTGCATGTCTTATTCTATATGGTTTCCCTTCCACTCTTCCAAATTTCCCTTCCTTTCAGATGTCGGGTGAGATCCAAAGGTGTCTTGCTCCAGTCATGCAAGGACCATTTCCAGTGGAGTGATCCCAAACCCAGAGGAACTTCCCCACTTGCACAAACTGTTGCATAAGACGCTCCCTCTCTCGACGTCTCGCTTCAGCAGCGATGGGCAATGCTGTGCAGTCTCGGGCGAATCGGCGCCATCCCCAAGAAGCACGGCATTTCCCATTTATGATAAGGCATTCCCTGCATTGCCCTGGTTTTAGAGGCTCACCACACTCCCAGAAGGGTGTGATTTGTGGTTTTAAAGATCCAAGGAAAACGCTCACCAAGTCCCTTGCCGCAAAGCGAAAAGGCATCTTTCGGTCAATGCCCACCCCTGCTGGACACCAGCACCCATCACATCTGCTGGCTGGGGAGAATGGTAGCTGTAGAGGGCCAAGGAGTCATTTACCTGCTGCACTAGAGTGTAATGTGCTACAGCCCGCATTTTGCTTTTTCCGTGTTTTTATACTACCAGTGCAGCCATTGATACACTGCAATGAATTTCTCCAGCACAGCCTTCCCTAACCTGGTGCCTTCCAGAGCTTTGGATTATGGCTCCCGTCACCCCAACTATTGGCCATCACGGCTGGGTCTGAGGAACACGCTGCCTCCCGCTGTGTGGTGCAGTGGATAGTGCTGAACTGGGGTTCAAGAGATCGGGATTGTAGTCTCCGCCCAGCCATGGAGTGCACTGCATGACTTTGGGCTAGTCACACACTCTCAGCCTAACCTACCTCACAGGGTTCTTATGTGCATAAAATGCCCTATATCAGGCCTTTCTTTGCCAATAAACCAGATGGCCACGGATGCCACCAGACAAATGCTTCAGCCAAGTATTCCACAAAGCCGGGACAGCCATTGCATGAGCAGTCTTGTTTTCTTAGGAGCTGTCACTTTAATTTATTTCTAATGTTTCCCTTCCAAAGACTGACCCTGGCCTTCCAAACAGAGACCCAAACAGAAGAACAGGTCAATACATATATAGAAACCCAATGTGTTTTTTTTCTAGCACTCAAATAACATGGGAGCTGGCAGACATCAGCCCTGGGAGATCAATTTCTTTTTTACTAGTACCCTGAGATCCAACCAAAGCCAGGTGCAAAAAGAGCAAAATTAAAGTAATTTTGACCCAGGACTTTGTTCTGAATACCAGGACTGAATGGAGCCCACAGTCCTTCCACACAAAAGGCTGCTCTCTTCATTGGCAGAAATAGAATCACCACCATTAAAGCAAGTCAAGTCAGAAATCCTTGCCCAGAAATCCTTGCCCATTGGGACTTCTGCCTGCTCAAATTTCATAAAACAAAAGGAATTAAGGACACCTTCCTATGCATGTGTAGACAGAAATAGTCCTACAATTCCCAACAATTCTGGAGCTGAAGGACTTTTGTAGCCCAAGAATGCATAAGAATGCACCCTTAACTTTCTTTAGCAGCTCCTCTTTTGCAAAACTGTTCAGCTGTTCTTCTGCGAAAGCCACTGCTTTCAAAATACTTGCACAATATTTGATTGCTGAAATATCCAATCCCATGCCATAAGATAATTTCCTAGTGAGTTAGCTCTAGAATTACATATGGAAATAAAAAGCTTTTCCAGATAAAGGACCCCAGATCCCTTCCATGCTGTGAAGGGTTGCCTTACAGAATTACGTGCCCGAACATTTTCTGTTGATCTGGATTTAGATCTTATTATATTTATATCCCACCTTTTCCTCTTCCAAGGAGCTCAAAGCAGCTTACATAGCTCTCCTCCTCCTCCTTTCTCAATCTTATCCTAAGAACAACCCGTGAGGTAGGGTTGGGCTGAAAGTCTGTGACTGGCCCAAAGTCACCCAGTTGGCTCCACGGCCAAGTAGGGACTAGAACCCAGATTGCCTGAGCCCCAATCCGGTGCTCTTAACCACTACACCGCATGGGCTCTTAACTTTTCTTCCAAGAATACACAGCACTGTTTGGACTGTTCTGACACAATGGTAATCCAGAGTTCTGGAGAAAAAGTTGTGTGCTGGTAAGTTCAGCCCTTAATATGCTCTTCCCTGTCTCTGTTTGTTTATTTATCGCATTTGTATGCTGCCCCACAGCCAAAGGCTCCCTGGGCAGCTCACAGTGCAATATAAAAGTCAAATAAAATACAAATAACATAATTAACAATGGCAAACCAAAAACCATAAACCATAAACAAATAGGATTAAAATACAATATAAATGCAACAAATACATTGAACAGGAGAAAATAAACACAATAAACCAATAGCAGCATTTGTTTTTTGTTTGTTTGTTTGTTTAGTTGCAAAGTCATGCCTGGCCCATCACAACCCCATGGACAACATTCCTGCAGGCTCTCCTGTCCTCCACCATCCCCCGGAGTCCACCCAAGCCCACACCCACTGCCCCAGGGACTCCATCCAGCCACCTCATCCTCTGCTGTCCCCTTCTCCTTTTGCTGTCAATCTCCTTTTGCTGTCAATCAATAACACCACACTGTTCCCCATACAAATCATGATGACGATTTCATTGTAGTTACGCTTGGGGTCAGAGCTCCATGGCACAGAATGTGCTTTGCACGCAAAAGATCTCAGGCCCGATCGCCAGCATCTCCAAGACAGACAGGAAAAACTCCTGCTGGGAACTTGGAGAGGTGCTGCCAACCCGTGCAGACCACACTGAGCTAGAGGGACTCCTTCTGGAGTTTCCAAGGTTCCTGTCCCCAGAGACGGAGGCCGCATGGCGGAACAGCAGAAGATGGTTCTTGCTGCCCTGCCCTGCCCTTCTTTTAGGCTCCCCAAAGAGCTCTGGCCAGCTGCTGTGAGGATCTTGGATTCCACAGGCCCAGGGTCTGGTCTTGCATGGTTCTGATGTCCTTAAGCAGATGCTGGATGTGCCCAATATCGGAAAAAGAAAAGGGGTGTCCTCAAGAGAAACTGAGATAGGGTGCACACTACCTCCACCTTCTGCCTTAGGCAACCAGACCCCCTGAAAACCACCCCTCCTCCTACTCACTCAGAGTGACAGAATCCCTACAGGTGTCAAAGATGCATACCAAGACCAAACCCCTTTCCAAGATGTGCTCGTCAGGCCAACTATTTTATTGCTATATGGATGTCTACGCTGCTTGTTCGCCAAGAACCAACTGGGAAGGCAATTAAAAGCTTTCGCAGAGAATCAGCATGTGCTATTAGGAAAACACAGTCAACTCGTCCAGGCCCCAGACACTGGACGCACAGGTTGCAATGGCTTTCCTTGGGTAGATTTCCTTTTGCATGGAGGCCCCCACTAGAAACAACCGCACCGCCCCTGGGGTCCCTGCAGGACCAAGCAAAGCAGGATAAAAATGCAATGTGACTATGATGATGATGAAACGAGTACAAGACAACTTATTTTCCCCTTGAAGATAACAATTTGTTATAACTAGAAATACCACACATCTCTCCACCATTTCTGCAAGGCAATGAATGGAAATTCATGCAGCTTTTATCTGCTATGCTCAGTGACATTTTTTCTTGGCTACAAGAGAGCCAGGGTGGTGTGGTGGTGAAGAGCAGGGGACTGGGACTCAGAGGATCCGGGTTCGAGTCCCCACTCAGCCATGGAGCCAACGGGGTGACTTTGGGCCAGTCCCAGACTCCCAGCCCAACCCACCTCACAGGGTTCTTGTTGTGGGGATAAGGGTGAGAAGAAGAGGAGGAGGAGGAGAATGATGTAAGCTGCTTTGAGTTCTTTAAAAAAAGAGAACAGCAAGCTATAAATCTAATAAATAAACTGCCCGGAAAACTTGCTGAAAGCAGGATAGAAATTTGTAAAGGTCCAATCCTTATGAAGTTTAGACCAAGAAACATCCTACAACTCCCAGCATTCCCAGCCAGCACATTGCACAATTGGATGTGTGTGTGTACATATGCACATGTTCCCCAACCTGGTGCCCACCAAACACAGTCAGCTGCAGTTCCCATCATCCCAAGTCAAGCTGGATCAGCCACACGTATCGGGAATATTAGGAGTTACAGCCCAATACCTGGACGTTGGTGAAACCTGGCTTGTGCTGCCTACACGCGGCGTGCATGCACGCACTTATCCGGGGCACGCGCACAGCTGCATGTTGCTTGCTGCACCGCGCACCCTGCTGCGCTCACGGGGGCAAAGCGCACCCAAGTCTGCCACGGGCAACCCGCCCCTAAATGCCACCCCACCTCCCTCGCCCCGGGGCAGGGGAACCCGCGGAGCCCCTCCAGATCTTGCAGGGCTACCCAAGCACCATCCATCCCTCCGCCATGCAAGCAGGGAATGATGGGAGTTAGGAGTCCAGCCACCGCCGGGAAGCTACCCAGATCCCGCCCTTGCAGGGGAACGCAGCCAGCGGTCCGATCCTCCGATGACCGTCTAGGCGCTGGGAGACCTTCCCGCCGAGCTCATCCATGGCGCTTCCTCCCTAGTGTTCCGAAGCCTGGCAACGCTCTCCGTCCCGCTTACCGGGGAGCAAGCCTCACTCGGCCCCGCGGGGCTTACTGCCAGGGAGACCCACCTAGCCTTTCCGGAAGCCACACCTGGGCGACTCCGTCCCCCCCCCCGCTTCGGAGCGGAGGCGGAGGAGGAGGGCGAGGAGCGCAGCCGCCACCGGGCAGGCCAAGAAGCCGGAGCTCCTGGCAGGCGGGGAGGGCAGCGCCAGCAGCATGCGCCGGTGGGCCGGGGCCCCTCGCCGCGCGCCCCCGAGCTCCCCCGGCCCCGCGCGGCCCCGCAGCACTCACCATCGCGGCGCCCCACGCACAGCCCCAGCCCGGCCGACAGAGCCCCGCGAAGCTGCCCTGACGGGAGTCTACTCCGCGCTCGCCACCCCTCCCACCGCTGTCATGTGACGAAGCCCTCCTCCCGCTAGCTCTTTCTCGCGTCCCATTGGCGGAAACGCGTGCCCTCCGCCGCGATGGACACTCCGCCAAGCCAGTGAGAATGCAAATGTCCTTCCTCGCGGATTGCATTAGCACCGCCCATTCCCTCGTCCAACAGAGGCGACGTCACGGGCTGAAAGGGCGCGGGGCGGAGAGAAGAGATCTGAGATGGGCGGGAGTGGGCGGGCGCAGAACGCCGAGAAAAGCGCCAACGTTCGGAAGGGGCGTGGCTAGCGCCAGTTGTAGCGAGTGCGGGTGTTGCGGGGTTCCATGCGCGCGGGAACCGGCGGAAGGCGATGGAGCGCGGGCTGGTCGAGCGGCTGGCGCCCAAGCTGGGCATCACCGCGGCCGGGGTGATCAGGTAGGGTCGGGGCAGGACGCGGTCCTGGCGGATGGGGTGCAGTGCCTGCTAACGGACGGCGGAACAGCCCCGGTTCAGCCTTGCCGCAATCTGCGGCCCTCCAGAGGTTTTGGACTACGCCTCCCATCATTCCCGATTACTAGCTGGGCTGATGGGAGTTCGAGTTTAAAAGATCTGGAGCGGGGAGGCTGGGAGAGGGCCCAAACCGATTCAGCCGAATCTTGACTTCTTCCTCCCGCATGGAAACACACGATGTGGCTATCCAGATGTTTCCCGGAAACTCATGCGGGGCAGCTGCACTTCCTTCCCCTTTGACCCTCTGCATTTAGAGGTAGACTGCCCCTCTTCATGGGCGATCCATAGATAAATAAGTAGATACCGCTGAAAAATACACCTTAAATGTGCACGTTGAGACAGGAAAAGGTTTGCCAGGCACATCATGTCTTGGAAAGAGCTATGAAGCATCAACAGTGTTTTAATTATTAGCAATGCATTGCTGATTGATTGATTGATTGATTGTGTTTATATCCTGCCTTTTTTCAAAGGTGTGGGAGCCTGTGTGGCTCTCCAGAGGTCTCTGGCCTCCCATTCTCCTGGGCACTAGCTTCTATGGCTACCAGTTGGGTTTAGTGGGATTTTGTTGCCCAACTTTACACAATGTTTCCCCAAAGGGTAACCAGCCATGTGGTTTGGTGCACACCCTTGCCTGTGTCTTTTATTTTTCATGAAAAGCGTTTTTATTGTCACATTTATTGCTGTATGTCTTACTACTTCATAGTAAGTTAGGGAAACTCTGGCTTTCTTTTTGGGACTAAGAGTGCACAGATACGCAGGTGACCTAGCGCCTCATAAGCAGTGCCCTGTGATCCGAAAGGCATATGTAAACTTTGCTTTGCTTGCTAATAGTCTGCATATTTTATCTTCCTTGTATTCTATAAATCAAATTTTGTTTCTGGTTTGTTCCTTTTTGAGTATCCTTGAATCCAAAGCTTTTCTTGGACCGGACCCTCTGGGAAATGCAACATGCCAAGACAGAAAAAAGCCCCACAATTCCCAGTTAAAACACTTTCAGTCTTTCAACAGCACTGGTAGAATGATTCTGTTTCCCTTTGTGTCTCCCGTAGTACAACATGCAAGAACAGCTATTGAAACTATTATTATTTATTACACTTGCTATATGTAGCGTCCCACCATAAAAAGCCTTCCACACACACATCCAGGAACCTGCAGGAAAAAACTAAAACGCATATAAACTTAAACAGTGCAACAGTAAAATAAATATATGTACCAAGAGGGTTTATCCACTGCCTTTTCATTTTATGGGCCGACAGAAAAGCGGAAGAATACCTGCGCCTGTCTCAAGTGAAATGCGCCACCTTGCTCGTTCAGATGACCTCCACAAGCAGCGCCGTCATCTGCCTCGACTTGGCTGCCTCCTTCACGAAGAACCCGGTCGACAAAGTATGAACAGCCTCTTCACATCCCCTTCTCCGCTCACCTGGGTGCCTGTGCTGTTCTTGCGGGTTTTAGAATTGTGTACTTGTGCAATCAAATAGCTGATCGTTCAGCTGCAGTGCATGCTTATGAATGCCAGGATCCCACCATGGGCCTCTCTCCTCTTTCCCTTATAGACATGCCCACGCTCAAGCACTATCCAGATACTCTGTATGGTTTCTAGAACAGTTTGACATGCATCTTAAAAACAAAGAATAGGATAGAATTTCTTGGACAAGTCACTGCTGCTGCTTATACCCTCCAGAACTCTAGATAGTTGGCATACCCTGCAGGGATAAGTCTTCTCCAACCTGATGTGCCAAGCTGCAGTTCCCTGCATCTTCCAGGCAGCTTGGTTGCTGGGCGATGTTGAGAGCTGGACCTCAGCTCTGAGCATCTGGAAGGCGCCATGTCAGTACATCTGGAAAGCGTCTCTAGAGGTTGGCAGGGCTGTTTGTTTATTGAACAAGCTAAACCTTACAATCTGATCTTGCTGGGTTGTTCTTATGTTTGTTTGCTCCAAATGGATATACCCCTAATACTTACAGCATTAAAAGAATTCTGGATTCTCGGATGCTAAAAGATCCGGGGAGAATCATTTGCATGGCTCTGCGGAGTGCTCATTTGCTTTGGGAAGCTGTATGCGATGCATTCTCCCTCTAATGCTAGAATCACAGTGTCCCATTATGCAAATTCTGCTTTGTGCCATGGTCACTAACTTTGAAAGGAAGCCAGCCTTGCAAAGCGCACCACAGAAACAAGTCCATGAAAATAGGTTTTTTTAATGTGCCTGCACATCCATACCTACGAGTAAGTCAGCAATTTGGAAGCAGCTGTCATTAAGCCACCTCGCCTGGTCGCCTGGAGAAGATTCTTATTTGCCCCCGGTGAGCGGCTGCTTATATATGGGAGGGAGAAACTGTGTTAACTCTGTGCTTTGCTTTTCCTCTCAAGAGTTACTTAGTGAAACTGTCTGGCTTGAGCAAGACTGCTTACCAGAGCTGTTTGAGGTCCTTTGAGAGCCTGCTTGGTATGAACTCCAACCTGGGCATCCAAGAACTGGCAGTTCAGTTCTGCTGCCTGGAAGCAGTGAATATGGCATCAAAAATATTGCAGAGGTAAGAGATGTCATGGCTCCCAACTTATCTTTCCTGGTGTGAAATACAAGTAAGGCCTGACAGATTGTTTCAGTGGGAACTCCCCCTATTCAGGGTGCCAGCAGCCCCGTTGTCTGCAAAAGTGTCCCATCTATCCATTGCATGTATTCTCTGGCCACTGAGCGTATTCAGGATGGCTTTTGTGGCAAGCGGGAATGGAGATTGCCCTCCAAAGAGTCTTTTTAGTACTTCTCCAAACTGTCATACTCCCTCGAGTGTGCTGATACCTCCCTTTTGCATCAGTGAGTTTGCTGGGAGCGTGCAAGAGCAACCATTGGTCTCGTATTTGGTGCAGTCTGTTTGTTTTTAATTGATTTGCTGCTTTGCATGGCTTGTTAGTAAAAGGAAAACCCAAAGCAGCATCTCTGGATGATGCAAGTCCATCTTGGCTGGTGGGGGCTAGGAAGCCCCCTGCCTCAGCTTCCCGCAGCTCTCTGCACTGGGAGCCCCCTCAGATGTGTCTATTTAACTGTTTATATGCTGCCTGTTTTGCTAACAGCATCCCTAGGCGGCTTGCAATATTAAAACATTACCAATAAGACTTTAAAACACTAATAAACCAATACATCCTTAAATTATTACAAATTTAAAGTTCCGGTCAGATTAGTTTACTCAGACAGGTTATAGTAGCATCCATGGGAGAGATTAAATATTAAAATGCCTTTAAAAAAGATGAGTCTTTGCCTGGTGCCAAAATGAATGCAAGGATGGTGCCAGGCGAATTTCTTTAGGGAGGGCATTCCAAATACGAGGAGCAGTGGCAGAAAAGGCCCTCTTTCTGTTAGCCACCCCTCTTATTTCCCTGAGGGATGGCTCCCGCAAGAGGGCCCCCTGCATTGCTCTCGAAGGCTGGGTTTTGGGTTACGACTGCCCAAAGCTTCGGAGAGCTGCATAATACTTGGCAAGATAGACCAGAGGTCTGACAGCTTAAAGTGGCACATGTTTGTACATGTTCATTTGCCTTGCTCTGGGTTCCATCCACTTGATCCCCAGTTGGGAAATTGTGGACAGTGGGGTCTGGGGAGAGCCTTTGCTGAAGGCTGTAGTCCAGAAGCTTTTGAACGTGTTTTGGAACCAAAGATAATGGATCGTATTACGTATCTGAGTTCCTGTCTCAGTGGCAGTCACTTCAAAATGGCTTTGCTTTTCAGGTATGCATCCAGTCTGCCAGAAGCTCAGCAAATGGATCTCGATTTGTCTAAACCCTTGTTCAGAACCGCGGCGTTGTTCACTGCTTGCAGGTAGAGCTGTCCGTGCCTGTGGCTGCTGGGGTTGGCACCAAACCTTGTGTTTATTGCACCATGGAGGAGGTGGGAAAGCTCTGAGTTTGCAGTAGGAAGACCTACTGAGATCCTTGAGCAAAAATTCTTCAGCTGCGTCATCCAAGCAGCATTCAGAAGGTCCAAAGCAAAGTTGAAGGACAGTCAAGAATACCTGCATTTGATTCATGTTTTTCTGATAATGGAGGCTGAGGCTAATTTTATTTACTGTATTTCATTCCCCTCCCGTTTTTTCCTGCAAAGAGCCCAATATGATTGTCCTCTGTTTTATCCTCACAAAACCCCCACAAGTTGGGTTGACTAAGAGTTAGCCACTGGCCAAGCTTCGTGGCTGAGTGGAGACTAGAACTTGTCCCTTCCAAGTTCCGGTCAGACCCTTTAATGCCACACTCACCAGGCCCAGATTACCAAACAAGCTAACACTGCCCAATTAACGGGGCTCTTCTTAGCAACCTGGCCCAAGGCTGCTAATTTTCATCACATTATTATTTTTTCTAAATGTTCCTTCGCCTTTTTTCATAGTTAATCCAAAACGTGTGTTGAACAAAACTGAGTGGGCTTCCCAGGGCTCTGCAAGGTTAGCGGATGTATATTGCATTGAAAACGTAATTTTCAAATTGGCTGTCAAGAATTGTGCTCCAAGCTGGGAGGCGAGGGGATGTTTAGGGGACTCTTTGCAGTTCAGCTCTCGCAGTAAGCAGATCTGAGCAGGGGCATGTGCTGTGGCTCGCCGGATGTGGTCCGACACATGGGAGTTGTAGTCAGACACCTCTGGTGCGCTCCAAGCTACCTGCTGCTGAGCTTCGGTGTCTCAAAAGAACCAGGTTTTCAAAAGTTGGTAACTTCCAATCTTGCCACCTGGGGGTGCCCTTGCTCTGAAGTATTTTTCTGTAGAAATATAGGGGAGCGAGCCGATAGAAGACCATTTCAGCTTAACAATGGTGTGGTAATTTGAACCACTTATTTTTACATTTGTACTTTTGAATTTTTTGTTCATTAAGCTCCTGTTATTACTCACTTGCATTCCATAAAATTTAGGAAGCTCTTAATAGGCATACATGAAATGTGCTTCCGCTTCCCAGGTTTTTGCAGCATGTGTAAGGGGTGAATCCGGTTTCTCATGTTGGCTTTATGAAAGTTGGGGTATTCGGACTCAATCATAATGATGAGTAGACCCATTAAAATCATGGAGGCAGAAGTTAGTAATGACTTATATGAGTCTCATTGATTTCAATGGCCCCACTCTGACACCTAACTCTGCACCTTACGTGCTTCACTTTTAATAAAAAGAACAAAAGCTGAGCCACTCTGCAAACGTTGCTTCGGCTTCTCTTCGAAGCGACGCTCTTGCAGCCTTTTGCCATCCACGAGAGATCACCCACCCACTGCAACAGCACGGCCAAAGTTGTCCACATAACACACGCTACGTCTTTGGAGAAAAGATGGCTGTGCCCTGGAATCCGTGTGCTGTAGTAGCCTGCCTGGTGCCCTGCCTGTGGTTTGGACTACAGCTCCTATCACCCCAGCCAGCTAATGGGCACTGTAGTCCAAACTGCCAGCAGAGGAGGGCTTGGGAGGCTGCCTTGTGTCATCTCCCCGGTGTGCATGGGAAACCGTAAACCCCGTGGCCCCTAATCCCTCCAACGCCACAGAGAGATCAAGACACAAAAGGTGGCTGACGTGGCCGGCTCAGTCAAATTTGTCCAAGAGAAGATTTTTTGGTTGAGCCGCGAGGAAAAAGGGAGGATGCCGCCCAGTAGGTGGAGGAAATTATGGCCGTGGTTGAGTGGGGCGCATGCCCCGATAACGTAATGTCCGTAAATCACTCATACATGCTGCTCAGACACATGGCATGAAGCTATCAGGAAAAGTCTATACAAAGTTCTTTTTGTACATTTGATGCGTAAAGCCTGGGAATCTTGTAAATCTGTGTACATTTGGCATTTTGAACGGATGTAAATAACGGATGGGGTACTTTCTATTTTTGTAATGTTGCAATTTTTGGGCCTTTTTGTACCTTTGTAGTATGTTTTTATTTAAATAAAAAATTTCAACCTAATCACGGGAAGAGAGACTCCCAAGCATTCGGAGGGGCATCTGGCCCCGAGCAGTAGAGACACGAAGAGGCTCCTTGCTCCAGGAAGTGTCTCACGTCTTCTGCTGCTCGTTGTCCATTGCTTGGCCAACTTTGGTCGGCTGAGAGGAGGAGGGTGCCCGGGACTGCCCTCCATGGTTTGTTAGACCTACTGAACACAGATGCGTTCAAATGAACGGGCTCCGAATCTGAGCAGTGCTGGATACGACCCAATGTTGGAGATTTCCAGACTTTTTTGGAAAAATCTTGGACAGACCTGGGCTTTTCCAAGAATTATCAGAGAGTGCTTGGAAAATCCTGAACCTATTCCAAGCTGGAGTTTGTGGGACAGAGAACAGATGTATGTAATTTACCGAATTTACCCTCTTGGGTGGATTGAAAGCCAAGTTGGCTTTGCCAACTTGGCTTTTCGCAAATGGTTTTGATAGCCGTATCTTTTCTGTGGTCCAGGAGAGCTTTCAGATGTTCCTTTCACCAGTTGAATTGGTGTCTTGTTGCAGATGTTTGAAAATCAAAGTGGATAAAACCAAAATGGTGGCTGCATCCGGCGTGAAGAAGCCCATATTTGACCGTCTCCACAGCCAACTGCAGAAGATCAGCCAACACCTCAGCCGTATGTAGCTCCTCTTCCCACCTTGCAGCCCCCATTCACTGATTCTAGCCTGGGCAGCAAAAGAGAAGCCTGAAGATTTGTGGCCAGAAGCTGGGGTGGCCTGGGACTAGGGGTGCAGCTGTTGCTGGTACACAGGCAAGTCACACCAGTCTGAGAATGAAGTGGTGGGGGACCCAGAGCAGACTTAGAGCTGAGAGAAGCGGAGGGGCTTATCTTAATGCCCCCCCCCCCCCCCCAGGAGGCTCCAGCAGGCTCTGGGAATACCCGAGATGTACAGCTATCAGGAGAGGCCCTGGGAGAAGAGTTCTTGGTGCCAGATGAAGCTGGTACAAGTGTTGGACCCACGATGCGGAACAGGAAAGCTAGTCAACTGGAGGGATGGTGTATAGAGAAGCTGTGCTCGCTTCCAAAAGGACCCCCCCCCCCGAAAAAAAGGGATGGGGCTCAGACATACTCGGAAGGAAGGTTTCTGGAAGTAGTTGTTTAGATTGGGTTTGGCGAACCACTGAGCATGCTCAGAGACACTAGAGGAAAACCCCAGCTCATGACAGGCAGGGTACATCAGGCCTGGTCTGCTAGGATTCACCTGAGATTGGTCGTTTCCTGGCCTTGGTGCAGTTTTTTCCTCATCCTAAAAAGCAGAGATGCCTCTAAACCCCTGTATTAGGCTCCTACTTGGTTTGCAGCTTGGCTGTCCTACCAAGTTCAGGTACCACGTAAAGCTGTCTCTTCCCCAGTTGTGTGGTTTTGTGTTGTTTCCCCTGCCCTCAAGCAAACTGGGAATGAACAGACTGCGTGCACCAACACACAGCTTGTATGCATCGCGGTCTGTTAAGCCAGGATCACTGGCTTCAAGCAGTGTGTCTCTGGCTAAAAGTCCATGAGAGCCAAAATTGCGGCAACAGATTTGTTCTCTTCCTCAGAAGGAGAAAATGATCAGCTGACAGCAGACGCCGCCAAACCCCAGAAGACCTTCCTGGAACGCCTTGAGAAAGAAGAAGGTAGGTTTCAACCTGAGCAGTACATCTCTGGTTGCGGCAGGCTGCCGGGGCCTCTGTCGTGTTATTCTAGAAGCCAGAATAACCAGTTAAGACCAGTTAACTCACAGACGTGTCCGCAGGAGACGCTCCTTGATGCTTTGGGGTGGGTTTTAGTACAGTGTAAGAACAGCCTTTTCCAAAGCTGCTGCCCTCCAGGTGTTTGGGGAGTTCGGTTCCCACCATCCTGCCCCATGAGCCATGCTGGCTGGAGCTCCTGGGAGTTAATAGTTCAAAATACCTGGTGGGCACAGGCTGGGGAAGGTTAACAGGGAAATCGGTGTCACTTCTGAATAATTCCACTCTGTGGTCTCTTTGGGTTGTACCCATACTACTCATAACTTGGGTCATCGTCATTTCAATTGACTTTAAATAGGACTAACTTTGGATACAGTTCTATATATTTTGAGTTAGGAGGGGGCTCTTGCCTGCCTCTCTTTTGGTCTCTGTTTCAGAAACACCTTCCAGTTTGTTAACCCGCTTCTGTTTTTTCAGTGCTGCCAGGAGCATTGGAGCAGGAGGAAGCAAAGGGGCCTTTGGAGAAACTCAGGAATAAGCAGTTTGAGGCTTACCAAAACTCCCTTAAGAACAGGATGGGCAGCCCAGCACCTTCCTGCTGTTTTGGACTACAACTCCCATAATCCATGTCCATGGGGCTGATGGGAGCTGGAGTCCAAAACTGAGGGCTTCCATGATGGGGATGCAGTTATGGGAGTGGACAACAGTATTAGCAAACTGAAGTGCTGCATTACTTTGACTGCATTTGTATGGGTCTCCTTAGCTGCTTGGGAGCTTTCTGCTCCCCACCAAGACTATCCTAGCCTGTTTCTTCAGGAGGATTCAGACAAGCGGCCCAGCCCAGGGTGAGGTCAGACTCGCAGAAATGTAGTGGGTCAGTGCCCCAGTGTGAGACCTCCTGGGACCCAGCCCCAGGAGGGTCTTCTGAAGAAATAGTCAGATATAAATGCATAAAAATAAAGTGAGGTATGAAGGGGAGAGACCAACTAATCGTTTGGATCAAGGATGGTCCCCACTCCCAAACAGCCATTAAAACTTGGGCATTGAACAAACCTCTCTTCACCATACCTGTATATGTTAAAAGGTGCCATTCTTTTATGCATCTAAGGCTCTAGTCCATATGGTTTGCTCCAGTGGAAACAGTTTGAAGTCACGCATTTGCTGCTTGGATTAAAACCATTGGACTGTCTCACGGTCTCTGGGCCATGTTTGTTCACTATCTTGGCTGCTTATTGAACTCTGCCTGAAGAAACATCTCGGATATGCCTTGAAGGGAGCTAGAAAGCCCTGGGTCAGCTAAGCAGAGGTACACTAGATTTTATAACTGTGTTCTCAGAAACCATCTGCCTTTTCTCCCCTTCAATAGAGACTGAAGCAGAGGTCCCTCGCAAGCGTCCCAAATGCACAGCTGAAGTCAAAGAAGAGTATGAAGAATGGAAACAAAGAATTCTGGAAAATGCTGCTAAAGCACAGAGAGACAGTGTTTGATCTGAGCATTTTCAGGCTGCAAACAGTCCATCTGGGTTTTTGAGATTATATATTTATGCAAGCACTTTTCTCATATGATGAGAAAGGGATGATAAGATTGGGCTCTGGCCATTGCTTCCTTCCTGGAATTCCACTGCAGAGACCACAGAAGCCTGCCTTATCTGATAGGCTGAGCCCAGCCACAGGGTTTGGGCTGCTGAAATAGTCCCAGAGTTGAGTTTCCAGAGAAGCTGTCTTACTGTACTTTTGAGGCCTATGCAAACACCCTTTGATGTAGAGTAAAAGTCTCTGACACTTTAAGCCACCAGGATTCGGTTTGTAGTGATAGAAATGCAGATTAAATTCTGAAAGTGAAGATCAGAGCTCCATGCCATATTTTCCTAGCCTTAATATTCAGTCCTGTGCAAATTCAGATTTTTTTCCCTGTCTACATTTGCATAGGACCATGTACCTTGTTTTCAGTGGAGGTTGTTTCCATCTACAAAGCTTTGAATTAGGATGTTAAGATCTGCATTCCCAAGCCAAGCAGTTCATGCTCATTTCCACTCTTTACAATCTTCATCAAAGTGACTAAAGGTGATGAATATAGAATTCTTCACTCTGTATTTTTTGCCCTTTATGCAACATTTTATCCTCTTTTAAGTCTGATGCCCTTTTGAGGTGATCCCTCTCTCTGCTTTATGTTGTACTTTCTTTTGTGACTTTGTAGAAGACTTAACAGTGAATGTGGAAAGACCAATAAATAGTTATTTCTACATTGTTTTGCAAATATCAGAGGCGCATGTTTACCTCAATGGCTTTGTTTTCCTTCTCGCTGTGAGTGCAAGGTTACCATAGGCCAAATGAGCAAACAAGTTGAGCTGGCTGTTAGTTAATCACACACCTAGTTGTAGACGTAACATGCGCGGCCTTCTGGAGGTTCCATATGGCCCAAGAGGAGCCCACCAAGTGAAAAACCTTCAGTGTGTCGTCCTTCACACTGCACTGCTTTTGGTGCTTGTTGCAGACTCTGGCTCCAGATTTTTTTCTTGCTGTCAGCCACAGTTTTAATATTACTTTGCTTCTTTAATGTACTGCTTTTTATTCATTTTTAGCCTTTTCCTATCCACAACTCTGGAATCGATCTAGATATGGAACAGTATGCAAACACTAAAGCCACACCAAACCCCTAGGTATCCTTTTCGCGGACTCTAAAGGAAGTGTAAAAAAAGCAAAAGAGACTTGGTGTGATGTTGGACTTAGAAGGGGGTTCCGTCATTACCTTGCAAAACACTGGATCAGTCTAGTTTTTAACTTAAGCGAGGGTCAGAGAGGTACCACAAAGATTAAAGGTAAAGGTTTCCCCTTGACGTTACGTCCAGTCATGCCTGACTCTAGGGGTGGTGCTCATCTCTGTTTCCTGGCTGAGGGAGCCAGCGTTTGTCTGCCGACAGTCTCCGTGGTCGTGTGGCCGGCATGGCTAAACACCAAAGTGGCACCTTTTTATCTACTTGCATTTGCAGGCTTTCGAACTGCAAGGTTGGCAGGAGCTGGGGGGGAGCAACGGGAACACACCCTGTTGTGCAGATTCGAACCGGCGACCTTTCGATCAACCAGCCCAGCAGCACAGCAGTTTAACCCACCGCGCCACCTGCAGTCCCACCACAAAGATTAAGCACACACAAAAGGAAGCCTTCGCACAGCGCATGGTCAAGGCGTGGACTTCTCCACAAGGTGGCCCTCACCTTGGAGGGTTTCCAAAGGTAATGGGACAAGTTCCCAGAGAAGACTCACAGTGGCTTCAGGTCTTGGTGACTCTTCGCTCTCTCTGGTATCAGTCCGTATACCTGTGGACACTCGTTGCTGGGGAACATAGGTTGTGGGATCTTGTGGGCAGCTATTGGGCACTGTGAGGACAGAAAGCTGGGACTAGGTGGACTTCTGGTGTGATCCAGCACAGCTCTTCTGTTCTTTGAAAGTAAATCAGTAATCTTGGGAAGATCATCAGGACTACTTGGCTATCATGTTTTCTGCTTTGAGTTAAGCCCTCTTCCATGCCCAGAGGTTCTCAAGGAGAGTTCTATTCTTAAAGGAAAGCCAGTCTGACTCAGAAAAGGTGATTGCTAACCACTAGCATATAATCGGAGAAATGAACGTTTCAGGGCAAATCCTTTTACTACCCCCTCTCACCCCGCTTCATGCGATAACTTGTGTAACAACACAACTGACGTCCTGCTTACAGGAAGCCCCATTCTATCAGGCTTGAAGGCAGAAACATGCACACTTGTGAGCTATGGAGCAGAAGAGGAGAAATGACACTGCCAAATTGGGGCGCAGGCTGCCACAACCATCCGGTCTTTTGCGTCTCACTCCTCTTTCATGGAGGTTATGCAGGATTCTAGGTCATGCTCGGGAACCTTCTCAACCGGTTGGCGGCCGCCACGGCATAGAAATGTTTCTGCAACGAAAATTGAAGCAATGGAATGGGTTAAACAGGGAAACCTTGTGCAGCGTCATGGGCCAGAGAAGACAGTACATCCCAGGAGATGGTTGCAATCTAGCTTCAGCCAGAGAGTTACTAATTAGATTCACGAATGGGGGCCAGATCGGAGCCCAGGTGGGTGGGTTCTGTCCCCAAGAGAAATTCTGGACGCTTGGGTTATAGCCATGTACAGTTTTATTCTTCATTTCTTTGTACAGTTTACCATACACTATACAGAGAACTTGGGTTACTGGGCAGCTTCAGAGTAAGGTGAGCAAGCAACAAACTGATGTTGTCTTTCAACTGCTGTAAGCCCTCAAATCAGCTTAGCAGGCTGTTTCTGTCCACCTGCCAGCCTCCCCTCCTTGCACAGAGCTGGCCTGCCAGCCCTTAATTACAAACATCTGGGAGATGCAAGGTGCTGACAGGATCAAAGGAAAAGTGATCTGCGGTCCATGACCATTCGTCATTCTGGCAACCGTCTGGGAGATGCTTGAAACCTCGCCTGGGGCAGCTGTGCCCTTCCTGGTTTCTTCCCAGAGAAAGTCCCACATTTGGTCCATGAGAATCGTCCCTGTGACTTCCAGAGGTCAGTGGCAAAAGCGACCCAAATAGCAAGGGGGTCTGTGGGAGAAGTCCATTCCTTTTGACTCGGGCACGATTTAAGAGAGAGGAGCATCGGGGACTTGATCCGTTTGGTCTGCCCTTCCCAGAAGGTAAGAGGCAGAAGCAAAGCAGGCCCATCCAATGCTACTGAAAAGCTTGGTTTTCCTTCCTTTCTCTCCCTGTCCCCCTTTTCATTTTCTCTTGTGTCTTTTTTAGTCTGCAGGCAAGCGCTGCCTTTTACCGAGAGACCATAAACTCTGCCAGGAGCTTTTCTTTTGGACTGAGGAGTGTTATAAAAATTTGAAATCAACCTCCTAAGGGCAAAGGAAAGTCCTAACTGAATCAGAACCAGAGTCCATCTAGCCTGGGCGCCAGTTGCCCAGGGTGGCCAACCAGAAGAGGCTTCTTGGAGACCCCACGAGGTCATGATGGCAAAGACCTCCTCCGGTTGTCCCCCTACCCCAGCGACTGGTATCCCAAAGCTGGGGGCATCATTGAGCCCTCAGGACTGGTAGTCCGTGGCAGCGCATCCTCCATGAATTTGCCTTTCAAAGCCACTCGCACTCGCCACATCTTTGGCCACCACAGCCCATAAGGTGGAGAAGTCCTCCTCTTGATCTGTCCAGAACTTGGATACAGAACCTCAGGCCCAGAATACAGCCAACCAGCCTGGGTCCCAAGCTGGCCGGCCGGCCGGGGTTCCTTACATGGCCACCATCCTTCCATTAATGGAATTCAGAAGGAGTCGGTCTGCTGGCAAACACGTTGACTGTGCCCAGAGAAGGACAGGGAACCCTGTGTAGTGCTCACCTTCCATTTCCGTTGAGCCATGTAACGCCGTAGGAGCAGCTGAGACTTCAAGCGGGCCTTGGATCTCTTGGCTTTGGCCGGCAAGTCCGTCAGCCACTCATGCTTAAGACAGTTGGCTGCACTTATTCGGCCACTGTGAAGATTGGAACAGAAGGAAGATCACTGGTGAACGGGCACCAAAACCTATTTCCCAACCAACCAAAAATGGACATACCATCTTTCTGGTTGTTCGTTTTAAAAAATGTATAAGCCAACCCTTATCCACAGGATCCCAGGACACAGTATTAAAAACAAACAATACCGCCACTATTAAAAAATGAATTATCCAACAACTCTTCAACCAAGAAGCCAAACAAAAGTTCAGATTTTAAAATCATCCGCATCCGCATCTCCAGATTGTTGAGATGCCTGGGCATAGTCCTTGACCATGCTGGCTAGGGATGATAGGCACTGTAGTCAGCACATCTGGAGAGAGCTGGGTGGGGCGGTCTATGCATGTTCCACTGTACACACACCTATTTCTCACCAACCGTGTGTGGAGGCCAGGTTAGTGTGACTAGCAAATGGAAAGACAGTGCAGTCCCTTCGTGGGTGGAGTTCTTGGGAGGAGAAGAAAGGAGACTTAATGTACAGAAGTTCTGGTGGCCGGGGATGGGCCCACCAGAAGCGCCAAGGCCGGGCAGCGGTGCTGGCCTGTAAGCCCAGACTCTGTATCTGGGTTCAGCAGCGCTGTACCTTTTTTCCTTTATGAGGAGCCTGGAAACAAAGTCTTTGGCTTCTTCTGACACTTGCTCGAATGCTTCCGCATCAAAATCCCAGCTGCAGTTCACGATATAGTTCATGGTCTCCGTGTCGGTTTCCCCAAGGAAGGGTGACAGGCCGCTGACCCTAGAGCAGGGAGCAAAAGCACAACAGTGACAATCGTGCCCCTTTGCTGGCAGTCACGGCGGCCCATCTGTGCTTTGTGTCAGTTCCAAAGGGGCTCTGGAAAGGTATCTTGGATTGGGATGGGGTTAAGATGCCTTAATGGAAGATAGAAACAGAAACAGAGCGAGCCAGAAGGGGTCTCCCGAGCCATCTAGTCTGACCTTGGCCCCAGCCGGCTCCGCTCACGACATGCCCACCATGTGGACATCCAGCCTATCCTTGAACACCCGCACCGATGGGGCCTCAACGACCTCTCTTGGAAGCCCATTCCACACCCTCGAGGTCCTGACTGTCAGGAAGTGCTTCCTGGCATCCAAACAAAACCTTGGCTCCCTGAGCATTGCTCCATTGGAGCACGTTCTGCCTTCCTCTGCAGGGAAGGACAGGTCTATACGCACCTCTGTGTGACACCTGCTCACATACCTGTATGTCGCCAACATACCCCCTCTGAGTCTCCTCTTCTCCAGGCTGAAGAGACCCAGTTCCCTCAGTCTCACCTCATACCCCATCCCCTGCAAAGATACAGTTCCCTACTAATAATATTCAATAAATGGGGGGAAAGACAAGAATACAGCCATGTATTCAATGCAGAAGTGTTGCTAGCTGGTCCCAAGTAGCAATACTTGGCAATTTAGTTGAGTGTGCATCTTTGCGGTGGTTCAGAGTACAGAACTGGGACTCAGGAGGTCCAGGTTCTAGTCCCTGCTTAGCCATGGAGTCACTGGGTGACTTTGGGCTGGTCACAGAGTCTTCCTTCTCAGGAGGAAGAGAGCAGGAGGAAGACTGAGAGCAGGAGGAAGAGAATCATGTAAGCCACCATGAGCTTATTAAAATACTAAAAAGGCATGATACAACTAATAAATAAACTTTGATGGCCCCAAAGTTGCTTTTGCAACCTGCCATCATCTGCGTCTTGGCCTTGGAAATCCCTCCCGGAGCTCTGGCGTAGGTGCCACTGTTATGACGGAACCACCTTCATTCCTAAAGGATTTACTCACAGCATGTAAGCTATGACGCCTACACTCCACATGTCCGTCGGGAACGACACAAAATCATAGTTCACCACTTCGGGAGCCAAGAATTCTGGCGTGCCAAAATTAACTTTCAGCTTCTCACGAGGCTTGTACCTTTATCAGAAATGAGAAAGAGAGAGGGGAGCCATCAAAAGATGCTCAAGTTGAACCCCTAGTGTGACCGTCCTTTCAGCTCAATGACCAACCACTCTTTGGGAGAAAAGAGTATCAGACTATTTTAGCTTAAAGTTCTGAATTTTGAGCCCTAAAAGAGGAATCTCAACTTTTAGAAGGGGAGAGGGAATCCTGTAAAAATTGGGGAACTTCCAAAGGACTGGTGGCCAGGGGAAAACAGCCCAAGGCAAGGGGTTGTGGCACTCTGGGAGTGCCATATTTGGTCCCCATGCCTGGTGTTTTCCATCCCTGCTTTAAGAGTTATGTGGGGCTGAAACCTGAACCAACTGAAAATGTTAACGCTGAAACTTTCCACCACCACATCTACTATCTATATATCTGTCTGTCTAACCCCAACTCTTTAAGGCTGTGAAAAAGCAGCTCACAAAAAGTAGAAACACCAAAAAAATCCACATAAACTAGGAAAAAAAATCTTACACACACAGAGGTGATTGCCATATAAGCAGAAGCCTGATTATACACTGGTAAAAAGAATAAATAGTTAGCATGGAGCCAACTGTTCTAAGAGTGTTTACTGTGGAATGGTACATAAAATCTTTAAAGAAATTAACTGTGCCTTTTGAACACAACAGTGCCCACATGGAGTGCCCGCAGCAGAGAAGTGCTTTGCACGTGGATATTTACACATTTAAAGTCAGCTCCCAGAAAGGGCTGCAAGATATTTAGAGGAGATAGCTAATAACACAAGGATATAAGATATAGAAGAGAAAGCAGCCAAAGCCAGAGGTAACCATGGTGCAGGGACTTACCTCCTTGCTAATCCAAAATCAATGATTTTAATCTGGTTTCCTGTGTGATTCACACAGAGTATATTTTCAGGCTACAAAAGAAGAAGGCAGGCTTCAGTCAACGATTGCAACCTTCACAAAACCGGCTTTCCACCTGTAACAGCCTCGCAAGGTGTAGCCATTCAAATGCTGAGCTAAGACTGGAGACGCAAGTTCATCTCTCAACCACAACCATGGAGCTCCCATTATTTTAAATAATTGAATACCAAAAGTGGCCCATCTTTTCCAATCATGCCCACTTTCAAAGGGACTGTGAAGGAAAATGCCACTGACTTTACAAGGGGGATTTGACGCAAAATGTTGCAGCATGAAATGTGCTCTCTGTCCAAGGCTGCAGCCACTCCATTTTATTTCCTTCCCTCCACAACATTCTTCCCTCCCCTCCTGGCGTTCACTGGAGCAGTTTTAGGCTCCCTTTTCCTAGCTTCCATGTAGCCTGAAGTGCCTGATTCTGCCTAATCTTGGAAGCTAAGCAGGGTCAGGCCTGGTTGAAATTTGGATGGGGGACTAAACGTTGTGTATTGCCCAGAGAGCTTTGTCTATGAGCAGTATAGAAATGTTGATGATGATGATGATGATGATAATGAGCACTTCCCTCTGCTGCATTTCCACAAATGCCCAAGACTCCCCTGGACATGCTCACATGCCCCTCTGGGTCACGGGGGTGCTGTTTTAATGACCTGGCTGGTCGGAGCCTGGAGGGGAGGCTGCCTGGGAGCCGCATGTGGCCACCTTGAGCTCCACAGTGGGGGAGAGGCAGGATAGACACTTAATAAGGAAAATGAATTCGTAAGCAACCGAAGCGGCAGCTCCAGCGTCGGAAGCAGCAGAAGGATTGTCGGTGAGGCCGTAGGGGAGGAAGCATTTCCAGGAGCCGAGCTGGGCTGCCAAGGACAGGGAGTTGTGGAGGACGTTTATTCATAGAGTCGCTGTAAGTAGGACGCAGCCTGAGGGCGCATCACAGCAACAACTGGAAGGAAGCAGGACTATCCCATCACCTTCAGGTCAAGATGAAGAATGTACTGTTGATGCAGGTAGTGGATTCCTTCACATATTTGCTTGGTGAAAAGGATAGCATCCAGTTCAGTAAGATTGTAGTTTTCATCTATGATCCGGTCGAACAGTTCGCCGCCATCAACGCTAACACAGTGGCCAAACAGAATATGGATGGGGAAAGACAAATACATCCTCAGATTAGCTCCAGCCTATCCAAAATTCAGCAGATGCTCGGTTCTCTCTCATGTTAGTCTCACTTAAATCCCAACAATTCCCATTGGCCTAGAATAACCTTGGATGCCACCCAGTAAGAATAATACTTAAATTGAACCAATCCATCCAAGGAAGACTTCTTTAACTGGTTGGGAATCCTAGAGAGTAGCAAAAATCAATTGCAACAAACGGGTGTAATCTTTTGCTCACTGATATGAAAAGAAGTCCCACTGAAGACTATGATTTACTTCTGAGTAAAGCATGCACAGGATTGTGCCATGTGCTTGCAATTCTATGCGCACAGGCACAGAGGTATGTCCCACCTAACCGCCATCCAGATGGAAGAGTCGCATATCCAATGCAATTAAGCTTTCAGAGAAACTACATGCCTATGCAGAAGTAAACCGTAATGATTTTAGCAGGGCTGACTCACAGGTAAGTCTGGATGGGATTTCATCCTCATGTTCTTAATGGAAATCCACTGATTTCAGTGGGATTTAAGCATATTATTGCAAATATTATCATCATCCTCATCTCCTCCTAACCTTTTTACTAACTATTCAAAGCAGCTTACTAAAATATTTTTACAGGCTAGTGAAAGAGACCAATCTCAACTATTAGTAAATCCAGAACGAATTCTAAGACATTTTATGACTCACTATTCCATGATCAAAGTGATATTGTTCTTGCTCTCAAAAGCATCGTAAAGCTGGATCAAGTTGACGTGGTTTAGCTGATTCATGATGTTGATCTCGTTCTTCACTTCTTCCTGGAAGATCAGAAATGAAGAGAGTTGTTCACGTTAGCAACTGTCTGAAGACAGGTGAGCATTTATTGCCACCCGACCAGAGATCTCTTCTCTTCTTTTACGCAGGCTGTTCTGAACTGTATCAGCCGAATGCAACACAGCCCATTCACACAGAGTCCTAATGAACTGAGCTCCACCATTGCCCTGCATGAAGTGAGAGCGCCCTTTCTAATAAACACGCTTGTCCTGCTGTGACCATTTTATCAGCGGTGGCAGCCAAGTTATCTTTCAGGGGACTTTGACACTCACCCTTGAGCTCGTTCTCATTCAGCATCCCCTACTGGCTTCCAGGAAAACCTGGCCCAGGGTTTCAACCTCTGTGCTGCACAGTTAAGGAATATTCCCATAGCACCTTCCAACAGCAAATCAAAACCGTAGCCAATAGATTAAAGAGAAATAGAAGAGGTAGGTGTTCATGAGCTTTGGGGTGGGATGGTCAAGGTTTGAGGAAGTACAGTAAGGGTTTTTTTTTTTAATTTAAGGGTCAACCAGCCACCTTACAAAGCACCTAAAGACTGAACCTATGCAGTAGGTGTGGAATAAGACATGGAGAGTCTGGCAACAGAATGTCCTTCTGGTGGACAGGTGACTAGCTGGAAAACTGAACAGGTGTGTCCCTTTCGAAGGGAAGATCCAGGGCTACATTTTGTTCCACTGATCTCGCTTTTATTTTTAAGAGGTTCTCATTACCCTTTCTTTCGCCACTTTCACTTTGATGATCTTGGCTGCAAGACAGAGTCCGGTTGACTTTTCCGTGCACTTGTGAACTTGACCAAAACGCCCCCTGTTGAAAGATGAAGAACACAAAGACATGAAGCCCGAAGGGGAAACAGCCTCGGGAGCAGCTCTTTGCAGACGCCTCCAGACACCAACTATTCTTATCGGCAATTAAAAATAACCTGGTACAAAGCGAATGGAATCGGGAGGTCAGGAGTCCGAGAGCTCCACTTTCTCCTGGCTTAAGGAGGATTAAGCTTGATCTTTCCAGCCAGTTGTTTGGTGCTTACATTAAAATATTACACCCCATTTGTATTCCTGGATTTCACAGTGGAATGACTATCTGACAATGAGCTGCGTTGGTTCCTTAACTGTACATATTTCCTCTGCTGTCCTTTAACAATGCATTCCCAAAGCTGCCTCAGAGTGGATATTTCTGGGCTAATGAGCCCCTTTCTGAAATGATGCGAGGGCCAATAATTATGCCCGGGAGTTTCTTATTGCTACGTTAGAAGCTCTAGATGGCAGGAAATATCAGTCCTTCTGTCAGAGAAACATGATGCAATTTCCCCTGCATTCTTATGTTCATTTACTCAGAAACTTTGGTGTTCCACAGCATTTATTCCCATGTTAAGTGTGCACAGGATTTATGTAAGTCTGAACATTGTTAGCTTCCTTTTCTTGAATTTAAATGCAAGATTTTTTTAAAAAAGGTTTACATTTGCTCCTGCCATGGTCCGGTCAATGTTTGGTTGTGTACATAAGATACACACAGGCCCTTCCCTCCCAGAAGAGTCCCTCTGCACACATACACTACACACCCTGAGCCATGTTGCAATGAGACTGTTAAAAGAGGATGGAGGCTCTTTTAAACCCTACAAGCAGCCAGGGAGGAGTGATTTTTCAAGGGTTGGGAGGGGTCACCAAGAAGAACGATCCCTTCCTTCACCAGCAACACAGATCTAATTTCCCCATTCTGTAACTGGTTTTTGAAAGAGCATTTGTTAGTACAAATGGAGCTTTTCAAAAACCTCACTTGCAGTGTAGGACAGAGAAGAAGAAATCTCTTTTCTCTCTGATCAGAGTCAAGAGCAACTGATTAAGAGCTATTCCAGGCTGGGTATGTTCTTAGGCCAGGGTGCAGAGGTCCCTTGGCCTCTTGGGGGTTCTCCATCCCTGGTGCAGCCAGACAGGTGGGACGTGGGGAGGAAGACGAAAGGAGCTGCCCCACTGACAAGTGCAAGCATCAAAACTTGGGCTCAAAATGTGTGGGAATCTCTTACATCCCGGGCAATTACCTAACTTCAAAGCACTTCTGTGATGCTGAAATGTCCCATGGGATCTTCAGGCCATGCCCAGCAACTGGAGGGCCCCATGGAAGAGGAGCCACCTTGAATTCAACCCACTCCTCCAGGGGAGACTGGTGACCTCTATAGCAGTGGGCCTCCTCAACCACCGCAAGCTTGCTTTTCAGGTTGAGAGGAGTTGTCCATGCTGCTCCACCCCATCCCAAAATTGGGTTCGCCACCATGGAGCACCATTGGCAACCGCTACAAATCTGAAGGTAAAAGCTGCAACGGGTGAGGAGCACCACTGACACAAGAGCTACCAGCCTTCTGAACATGCTCTGCCATGGCGGAGCGGGGCCCTCCAGAGCAACAGCCGTTCTCTAGGGGAGCACACTGGTCTGTTCTGGAAGAGATGGGAGGGATCTCAGGAGGGGAGCAGGCGGCATGTGCCAAACCCAGCCCTTGACTCTGTAAGGAGGCATCAGGGGGGAGCAGATGTGGAGCTGGGAGGCCCCATGGCTCAGGTCATTTAGCTTTCCAATGGCAAGAGTCCTGCTAAGGGTGGAGCCAAGACCCCTACTGAAAGGGAGGGACTGCGGGGAGGTTTCCAGTAGAGCTGCCCTGGGTTCTGAGGGTCTCCATCCCTGGTTTTCATGACCACGTTCACTGAACTTACCCTCCCAAAACTTCATGATGGCACACCAAATAACAGTCTGTCAACTCCGTCTGCTTGATGCTCACAATGCGATGTTCAAAAGGAGCTGGAGGAGGAGGGCTGTCATCTGAGGAAGAAGCCAAGCAAGACCGTCTTAATTTTCTTTGCAAAAAGTTGGGCATCTGTTTGGTTCCTTTTCCCTGACCCTTCACTTCTCCAGGTGGAGATGCAGCAAAAGGCATTTCACAGATAGATTCCTGCATATATAGGGGAGAGAGGGAGACCCACAGCCATAGCTCTCTGAGAATTCATAGAGCGAACCAGCGTGGGGTGGTGGCTGGAGTCACTGACTGGGAGTCGGTAGATCTGGGTTCTAATCCCACTTGGCCATGAAGTTCACTGGCTTTCTTTGTGCCAGCCATTGACTCTCAGGTGGTTGTTATAGTGAGAATAAAATACAGAGGAGAATGAGGCAGAATGGAGGTTCCTTGCAGGAAACTTGGTGAGAAATAACTCTAATAAACACATCACTGGTCCTGAATGGTGCAACACTCCCTCTTAGGGATAAGGTCCGCAGCTTAGGAGTACTCCTCAACCCGGAGCTTTCTTTGGAAGCTCAGGTGACAGCGGTGGCGAGGAACGCCTTCCTTCAGCTTCGGCTGATTAATCAGCTGCGCCCCTACCTGGAGTACGACTGCCTGGCGACAGTGACACACGCGCTGGTGACTTCCCGCCTAGACTTCTGTAACGCGCTTTACGTGGGGCTTCCCCTGAAGACAGTCCGAACACTTCAATTGGTGCAAAATAGAGCTGCCAGGTTGCTGACGGGGACGGGGCGTTATGCTCACATGACTCCAGTCCTCCGTCAGCTTCACTGGCTTCCCATTGAAGCCCGGGCCCAATTCAAGGTGTTGATTATGACCTACAAAGCCCTAAACGGCTTGGGTCCTGGCTACCTGAACGAGCGCTTACGTCCCTATATGCCCGACCGCCCTTTGAGATCTGCGGGAGAGTCCCTTCTCCGGGAACCCTCCATGAAAGAAATTAGGAGAGTAAGTACCCGGAGGAGGGCTTTCTCTGCGGTGGCGCCCAACCTATGGAATTCACTCCCCAAAGAGGTCCTCCTGGCACCGTCGCTACTGGTTTTTCGGCGCCAGGTAAAGACCTTTTTATTTAAACATCATTTCAATTGTTAAAACATATGATCTGGCCTGGGCAACTTCTTCTTCCTTCTCTTTCTCATCCTATATTTTTATTTTATACTGATAATTTTAATTTTGTATTTGTAAATCAATGTATTTTTTGTATTTTTATATTTAATGGTAATTTATTATGTACTATTGTATTTCAATATATTTTATCATGTTGTAAGCCGCCCCAAGGTTTCGGCAAGGGGCAGCATAGAAATGTTAATAATAATAATAATAATAATAATAATAATAATAATAATAATCAACACTTGTTTGGTTGTTTCTTTCCCTACTCTACAAGTCTGGAATGTCTTTCCTTCTGTTAGTTACTGACAGCAAGAACCTTAAGGTAAAGCATGCTGATATTTTTGCCCTGCCCCCTTTGCCTTTGGCTCCACCTACCACCAGATCATGGTCCCCAGAAACTTCTCCAAAATGGAACTCAGTGCTTTGGCTGAAAGAGCCTCCCCGGCCCAAGCGCTCAGTTTTCTCCCTAATGCAGCGACCGGGGTCAGGGAGCGTGCTGAGCTTTAGCTGAAGCCAGTCTCTGAGGTGCCGAAGCACTTTTATTCCACCAAAGAGAGAAGAAAGAACTTTCTCCACTTTGGGAATGCCTCTTGCAAAAATAAAAATACCTCTCTCTGTAGAAAGCTACATGTCAAGGCTGAGTGTGTTCGTTTTTCACATGAAGATTTTTCTTTTCCTAAATGGAGGAACATTGTGTTCCCCTGCAATCTTGTAAACTGTCCCAAGACGTCAGTGATGGGACAGTGAATATAAAAGTTTTAAACAAATAAGTAATATCTGAACTTAAATACTCCTGAGGCAAGTTGTCCACCTCATCTGCTGTGCGAAGTAAGCCTAGAGTTAGCCCTTTGAAGGCAAATGCATAAATGTGAAGAGTCCGAAGGGGCCTTGTAAGGTGGCAGTGGGCAGAAAGATCTCTTCAGATGGTTTGACTGCTACTCCTGCCATTCCGACCACTGACCAGGCTAGTAGGATCTTCTAGGAATCCAAAACCTGAACTTCTGGAGAACTTCCTTCCACCCACCACTGCTGTAGGCCAACTGGTCCAGCCTCCTGCCTTGATGAAGTTAAACCAGTGTCAACATATTTTCAATCTGTAGCTGTTTGTGACCAGAGAGCAATGGTACAGTGGCTGATTTGGAAGAATAGGCACTCTGCTTAACACTCCCCATAAATACGCTTCCAAGGACAGTCCAGATCCATGCCAAGAAACCTGTTGCAGCAGCTCTCATCCCCAGCACAGCAAGGTCTTAGTAAAATATATGGGTCTTCATTGCCCAGTCAAGACCAAGACACCCGAAAACACTTTGCATTGCCATAATTGCTAGGAAAACCCATTCTCCCCAGTAGCTGCATCACTAACAGGGACAGTATCCAGACGTCGGGAAAATGCATTTCTCCCCTGCTGCAATGAGGATTGCAGTTAAGTGGGGAGAAGGGCCTGGCAGAGGGTGTCAGCATCCCTGCAAATCAAGGAGAATGGGTGTCCCTGTGAGCACTGGCTTCATTACACCACAGGCAAAAATAGTTCAGGGGGCCCAGGACCAGCCACTCACCAATAACCAAGTCCTCTGCTTTGCCAGCTCCTGGCTCTGCAGCATTTTCTGCCGGTTTCCCTGCCCCTGGACTGGATCTGCTCTCTTGCCTCCTTAAGGGTGCACTTCTTGACTCCTTGACCTCTGATCTGACGTCTTTCATACAGTCTTTTGCTGTTGTCTTTGTTGTTTCCTTGGGGCTTTTTGCCAAGCTTGCTGGGTCTCTCCCGGCGTCCTTCGCAACAGAACCCAAGCACAAAGCACCCTTGCTTTTGCTCTCCCCTTTCTCTTCTGACTGTCCTGGTGGTGCGGCTGATGGTGCTGGACCCACGATCTTGGACTTCTGCTCTCCTTGCCTATTAGGTGACCTCAGCCCCTTGGTGTCTTGGGCGGATTCAGTCCTGCTACCTTTGGAGGGCTGCTTTGCTTGAGAAGGCTCTGGTAGCTGTTTTGCTCCTTCTGCCCAAGGAGGAAGGAGAGAAGGCAGCGATCCCACGCTTCTGCCTCCGTGTCCACCACCGGCACTTCCTTCTCTGCTCTTTGGAGTCTTCTCTTGAGCGTCACTCATCTGCACGTTGATCAAAAGCCTGCAAGACAGAAAAACAGACCTTCTAAAGGCACTTCTTTGTGGCCTCTTCATTGGTTCTAAGAAAGGTATTTCTGTACTGTTATACTTGGAACATTTTTCCTTTGCAAGGCCAGTATTCAGAGAAATGACTGGGAGACACATTCTGGTGGATGAGTTGGGGCCAAAAGCACTGCTGCATTTCAGCTTTTAGCTCTTAGTGCTAATTGCAAAATCTTGAGAGCATTTGTCCCTTTTAGACTGACCCTCCCCCCCGAAAAAAAAAAAAAACCAAAACAAAACCCCTGTGCAAAAGCTGAGAAATTGCTGAATGATTAGGGATCAGAGGAAAGAAACTGAGCTTTCTGAGCAACCCCAAAAATTGGGGTTTCATTCCTCCAGGATCCTTTTGCATCAAGCAAAGCAGACTTCATTTTGGCTGCAAATAAAGTCAGTTAGGACTTACAGATGGGAGCCTTTTCAGCATCCAGGTGACGGGAACTCATAATGACCCCCCAGAGCAATGTCTGAACATTTTCTAATGCCTCCTGCTGGGAGCATCCTATAACAAACCTAGCTAGCAGTTTGGTCCTTAATTGGGGCTACTCCATCAGTTCACCAAAACGAAAAGATAAAAATCCCTTTTTCAAAGTGCTTCTCCAAAATTCTCCATCCATTTCTCTGTCTAGCCACCACAAGGTGTAAGCCACCTTGGGATCCTTGCAAGAGAAAAAAGGAAAGCTTCCAAAGGAAGTATTTCCCAAAGAATATGACCAGCATTTGTCCACAGCATCGCTAACTCTACTGCTGAATAGCCTTACTGGCCAATCCCTTTGTTCAAAAACCTTCAACAGAGTTGAATCATTAAAATAAAGGTTTAGGTAAAGCACTGATTCAGATATGCCCAAAACCTTGGGCTTGGCCATGGGCTCCCCCCACCATTTTCTTTTGAACAACAGATCCACAATGAATACACAGTGACTCTTGTGGAAAGCAAGGTGGGACCTTCTTATTGTTCTTAGTACCCAAGGGTAGAAAATAAGGATGTACCTTGTCCGTATCACTTCACCGCCAGACTTAGGGATGGGGGGTGCCACTTCGCCGTGTCGGAGAATGGTTTTTTCACTTCCCTTTCGCTTGGGATTGAAGGATGCCTTAGGAAGTTCGCCCAGGCCAGGGCTTTTGTCCATATTCTGGCTTCCCACTGGATTGCCTCCACTCAGGAAAAGGCCATGGTTCTGGACTGTGGGGCTGACACCAGCCGCATCTCTCAGCTTGGGGCAGTCCTTGGGGTCCGTTGCTTGTCTGTGCATTTCTGACACTGCACACTGGGCCATCTTCTCCTTCCCAGGTGAGCCGGAGTCAGCTTTGGAAAGGCCTGTCCCAGCCAAGTTCACCTTTTCACACACTCCTTTGTGGTCATCTGACATTTTCCCCTGGTTGTTTTCTAGGGACATAAATTAGATGCAAAGGGAAAATTAGCACGAGATATTAACTGGGCAGCTGGTGTGGGGGCAGACTGCAAAAAACCGGGGGGAGGTTGGCACTGAAAGAGTTCCTCATCTCTCTCCTTCTTATATTATTCCATCCAAGGTTATCATTATTCTTAAACGTTCACCTAGATATATAATTTTGCATGCAAATCACCCTCCTCCTTTGTCCCCTTTTTGGAATATGTTTCCTCTTTTTTCAGTAATTCCCAGGTGTTCAGGCTGGGCATCCCTGGGCTTTGGCCATGAGCCAAAGAGCCTGGTAGGACACCAGGACTGGCAGTTTGGTCATTCCACCCCCAGGGGGCGCTACCACTTCGGCGCCCCAGCAGAAAAGCCATTGTGGATGGCGGCCTTGCCCTGGTGAGCTGGGGCCGTGCGGTCACTACCTGGGAGCAGAGGCAGCTAGGCCCAGTTTAGCTGTCAGGGAAGCCCAGGAGCATCAGTGGGGGGACAGCCCATGTGGACCACCCAAACCCGGGAGCCAGGACCACCTGGGAAGCCATTCTGGTTTTCAGCTGGGAACAGGGATGTGACTCACAGCAAGGCTGAAAGTCTTTTGGAGCCATTCAGAATTAAATAGCTAAAATGAAAATAAAATCTGCCTGTTCTGAGACAGGTGTGAAACCACATCCAGCACACCTGTCTGGATTTCCAGAAGGCGTCACTCCCTTCCCCTAGCGATTTGCTAGTTTTTCAGCTTTTGTGCATCCCATTCCAAAAAGTTGAAATTCTCCTGCTAAGACTTATCTACTAGTGGGGACAGCTTTGCAGGGAAGTATGTTAGCATTGGTAACATTAAATATTTGAACCATGGGATGCACAATAGCTTTGTGAGCTGCCCCAGGAGCCTGTGGCTAATGGGGCAACGAACAAGTGAGATAAACAAACAAACTAACTAACTAACTATACTCATTAGAACATGTTTGCAAGTACCTTGCAAGGAAGTCTTGCCTTCTGCCTGGATTCCTTTGCTGGCAGGTGCATGCTTTCCTTTTGCACCTTTCTCTTCTGGCTTATCTTTAGTCTAAGAAAGAAGAACAGGAAAAGTCCAATGCAACTATGAATGGGCAATGGTTAAAGATACCCTTTCCTCCTCGTATTGATTTCCTTCTCAGTTCCAGGTGTCTAGGGGCCTTTGGCTGCCTTCCTGCAGGACATTTTCCTTGTCCTCCATTTGTATGTTGTTTTGGACACAATATGTCCAAGGTAGCTTACAAAACATGAGCAGCAATACAGGAGGAGGCGGGAGGAGGAGGAGGAAGAAGAAATCTAAACTGATCAGCATTGGATTAACTCCCTTATGAGCCATGCTTACTACAGCTGAAATTGTTTAGCTTAGCCAGATGGTGAGGAAGGAGCTCAGAAAGAGGTGTACAGAATTATGCATGGTGTGAAGAAAGTGGAGATGGAGGATTTTTCTTAAATTTACACATTCTATGTACACATTTCCCAAATGTTGCACATTCCCCTTCCCCAGCAAGATCATCTGCCTGGGAAAACTCACCAAAAGGCAAATTTCTATAAATTGTTGTTTCTGCATACCAGAAGACTTAAGATGTGTAAATCCATGAGGGAGCAAAGTTCTCCCTCATCCCTAAGGAAGGAGCTGACGGGATTGGCTCTGAGCCCTTAGGCACGGACGGGAAACAGCAGGTGTTTTGCCTTATGCATGGATGGAAAGGAGCCACCCCTACTCAGCCTTTCAAAATCAGCGAAGCTGTAGAACCTCAAGCTGAATACCTCTTGGAAGGAGGCCGCTTGCCCTGTTAGGTCCCCCTTAGCAAAAGGAGCATCCCCAGGGATCCCGGTGGTTGTTTTGCAGGGAACCTGGTCGATGGTTGTTTACGCATTCAGTGCCACTCAACTGCCCTGAGATTATCTGTTCTTCTGCCTGATAAGAGATCCAGCATGCCATGTGGCTGAAGGACTCATGTTCCATGGAAAATTTCTGGGCCCCTTCTCCACCCACGCGCAGGCACGCAACACTGGATGCAAAATAAGTCATCTCTGTTCACCCTGGAATTTAAAAGTCAGTCCCTTGCCGTTTTTCCCCCCAGCACAGAAAAAGCAAGCCCTGTACAGGTTAATTTCAGACCTGCCCTTCCATTATGCCAAGTGCTTTCCATCACAGGATGAAGGCAGACAAGATGCCCTTTCTGCAATTCGTAATTGAGGTTTACAGGAGGTGCATGGGAGCCCATTTCCATCAGAGGCCTGGTGGTCCAGGAGAGCGCTTTTACCCACTCTAGCATGTTTGTGGGCCCAACTCAAATCCCCAGCCATGTCCTGCTGATCGCATTAGCAGAAACACGCCCAGGGGTGTAAGGAACTACAGCCAGCAAGCCCAAGAGTCTTGCACACCTTCCAGGTGTGGGACCTTGCCAGAAGTGCAGCAATGCCTACTGTTGACGCCAGGCTTGCCCACTCCCATTCTCCCTAACTTTCCTGAGGTTTTGCCCATTCTTCACACAACACTCCTGAGGCTTAGTTACTGGAACCAAGAGTTTTGAACTAAAATGCATCGGTCTCCACCAGTGGGGTCCAGCATCCAGGAAGGTCTCTGAAACGGAATTCAGTCCGAGGACTGAGTGTGATTCCACACACCTGCCTTATGCAGTACTCACCCAATAGCACTAACACACCTTTTGCTGTTTGGCATGCTGATAGAAGAATAATTCAGCATTCATTTCTCATGCCCCGGGGTGCAAAAGTATTTTTATTCGCACCTTTCACTTACACATTCACTCATTTGTACTGTCCTATCTGGACAATTTGGAGCATGTTCAGAAATTTTAAAAACCCTCCATTCTGGCTAACCTCCCCACCCTCAGATGGCAATCAACAACTTGGAAAGGACTTACGAAGAGATACACAAAGAAGCTAAAGAGTCCAGAACAAATAGCCCGCTGTATTTTCAGATCAAGGATCCAACCCCAGCCCTGCCAACTGTGATGGGAGACCCACTTCAACTGTTGAACCATATATGCTTCCCCTGCTGGTCACTCTCAGATGACCAGATGTGAAGCAGGGCAAAACTACACAATCCTTTTCGTGTGTGGATGATGGAGAATTTACATAGGTGCTGAACCTTGTCTTGCAGGGGTGAAAAAGCCAGATAAAGACAATACTGATAACAGGACTCTGTGCTTCTCCACTTCTGCTCTTGGGTGGCCCCAGATGAGAGGCACCGATTATGATCATCTAGAGGTTCTACCCTTCTTGTACCAGCACCCTGTTCTTTGCATAACTTTACAAGAAGTTCAGTCAATGCCATCTTCCACCTGGAATCCTTCCATGTTTTCCCACTCCTTCTCTCTTCCTACAGGAAATCCATTCAAGGAAAGGGCCAGAATAGATGCATGGCACTTTCCATTTGTTAGCACTGGGGCCTCTCCAGCTAGAAGCACCCTCCAAAGTGGAGGTGTTCAACCCAAGGGCCAAATTCCATTTCAAAGAAGCTCTTGGGGATGCATTCCAATGGCAGGAGAGGCAAAAGGAACAGGGTCAAAATGCCAACATGTTTTAGCTGAAAGTGCTTAATGCCGGTTAGGAGAAGGATCTCAGCCTTGGAGAAAGCGACCCAGGGAACTGGACTGAGGCCACCAGTGGCCCAGACACATGAGCCAGAGATGAAACACTCCTGCTCTTAAGAAGTGTGCAGTTATTCTCCTTCACCTCTCGTCCATGGGAAGAAAAAAGATGGAACAAGTGGAGGGAAATGGGAGCTTTTTGGGCAAAAGACGACTTCTGGATTCTCAGAATGATGCCCAATGATGGTCAATTAAAAACCTCCTCTGGAAGCACCCTTCCCTCCCACCCTCCGTCTCCTCGGAGAAAAATATCCGAGAAACAGACAGACAAAAAGGGGACACTGCACTGAGAGCACTGGCGCCAGCCAGTTTCGGCCAGATCCTGCCCTGCATTTGGGTCCCAAACCACCTGTTGAAGACCCATGGAGCAGAAGGAAAAACAATGCAAGATGTCTGATACAATTTTACTAGAAGACATTAGTACTACCAAAGAGCTGAAGATCCCGAACAAGCTGGGGAGGGGATGGGAAAGAAACTCACCTCTTCTAGTATTTCAATGGGACTCCCTTTCCGCCAAGCAACCCCACCCTTCAGAATAAAATCCACCATTTTAGAGTTTTTGAATGTTTCTCCCAAACATTTCACAACCTTATCCACTGAGTCTACCATTTTCTCCATCTTTTCCAGTCTCTCCCTGTACTTCGAGGTATCCTGATGTGTAGCTTTCATCAGCCTTAAGATCTCCGAGCAAACACTCTGGGTATCCAACTGATGAGCACCATCCACAGATTTCAGTCCTCGTTTTACGCCTCCAATCTGTTCGGCAGACATCTGTGACATGCTTAGCTTCTGGAGACCTTTCCCCAGATTGTCGATTCCTTGGTTCACTATCTGAAGCTTTTCTGTCAAGTCTTCCTGGACGTTCAACAATTTGTCAACTTTTTCATTGAGAAGGTTCAGCTTTGTGTCCATTGTGCTTAAGCTGTTCCCTTTGGTAACCCGTGACTGGCGCATAAAACCTTCTTCAGGCTCAAGATTACATTCAGACATTCTGATGAGAGAAGATCCTTAAGTTGGCTGCTCTATTACTCAATGCCGTTACAGGCAAGCTCTCTGAAATCCCATCTCGCTTTGGAATGAGGGGAAAATTCTAGAACACACTGGGAGTGTGTTCAGCCATTTGCCGCTCTGCAAATGTTTCTCATTTCTCATTATCTGTTTTCTTACTTGCGTGCTTATAACGATGACGGTAACTTGGCAGCAGGTTGGAGAGTCTGCATCCCCCACCATCCCTGGCATTGCCCTCCCTGACGTCACAGCACCATTTAAAATTCTTTCCTCAAGAGGCTGTTGATAACCAAGCATCTTAAGAATTGGACAGGGCCATGCAGCACGGAGAAAAGGAAAGCTGGGATTTGATTTCAACTCTGTAGAAAAGATTGGCGGGGTGAGGAAAAACCACATGAAGCTTTTATTTTTGTCACCGGAAAGAAAGGAAAGCATAGCCTGAGCTGTTTAAATCATGGCGAGGCCTGATTTGAAACAGCGTCGTCAAACTGCAATGCACACACCCTGGCCAACACGCACACCGTCCGTGCTTCAAGTTGTTCAGCAGTTGGGGTTTAAAAATAGACCGTAATGACAATGATATGGAGCATATATCTAACACCAGCCTGCCTCCGCCAACTGAAACAACTCAAACAAATTCTTCCTTCAGTGCCAAGAGGGCCTGCCCACCCCCACCATCCTCGGTGTCAAATAAATAAATAAAAATCTGCAGAATGGCATGCCCAAATTGTTTCCACAATTAACAGCAAAATCATTAAGCCTGCAGTTGCCTCATCCCACCCCAGAAAAAACCATTTGCTGTTCAAACATTTGGGTGTTCCTATCCGTTATTTGCAGTGTGGAGGGAGCATGGGTGATGTTCGCTGACAGAAAAAGCCCAGAGGTGTTGCCCGTTACGTTGGCGTTCACGTGGAGAGAGGCAAACAGCATCGAATTGATACTGTGGTGGTTATGCAGGGTCTCTGTGCTGGCAGTCCTAAGGTGGGCATTTCCCCCAAGAAGAAACCCATTACGAGCAAGAGTCCATGCCTGGGTTTCATTTTAAGCCATCAAAACTGGCCCCTCCAGGTCTGGCGTGGCATTTGGGCATGTCATGCTTGAGGCTCAGCCCACCCCACGTCTCTGAGTCAACCAGTTCTTCATCCCTGTCTGGCTCCCCATACGAGTGCCCACAGTCTCTGGGCCCAATCCACACTGCTACTCACAAGGAGAAGGCAAGGAAAGCAGAGGGTGCTATCCCCTGCCCTCATTTCTGTCACTGCTGGCTGACTGGCTGGGTTCGGACGACACTGACGCAGTCTTTACAGCAATCCCTGGTTCAACAACCCACCTTCAACCCTTGGATGTGGGAGATTGTTTTGTCTGAATCCAGTCGCTGACTCTTGGAGAGGGCAGGTTAAAAGACAGTGACATTAAGGAGGGATAGAAGCAGGGCTAGGACCTCCTGGGCTCGGAAGTAAGTCCTCTGCTGTATGGCAGACCCAGATGGTTGCCTAACATTGCTGACCGAACCCCCTGACGGCAGGCCTGGTTCCTGCCATGGTTGTCCAACTTCCTCCTCATCTTAAGAACTAGAAGTGTGCATCCCATGGATGCCAGGGGCCAATGTGTCCTGAATTTCCCCACCCTCACTCTGTGACTAGGGTGGCCATGTGTCCTGCTTTACAGGAGACAGTCCTCTTTGAAGGTCCTCCGTTCAATAGACTGCCCTGGTTTAAACTTAAAGAACGATCGGAAGAGAAAGGAGAACAGAGTAGCCACTCTGCAGAGGTCATGCCTGGCCATAGACTTTGCCTCCATGAGGAGGTGTCCTTTTATTTGCATTTTAGCCATACTTCCTAAGTTACTATCTGTAGATAAAGATTAGCATGGGCAAATGCTTTGCAAGTCTGCATCTCCTTTCACCCTCTTCTTTGGCGATGCTTTTCCTCTTTTTTGCCAACATGGCAGTGGCCACCCAAGCGCCATCTTCTGGACCATCCAGCCAGTATGACTAGGGCAAACTTGGGTATCTGCATCACTGGAGCTTCTCAGCCATCACAGCTTTCCTTTCAAGCAGCGCAGGAGCTCTCCCAGGTGCTGAACTCCAGCCCCCAAACAGCACCATAGAGAGCTCCCGCGGAGATTAAAAGAACCGCTGCCATGCCTGTGGACCCCCTCCTGGCATGGGAAGCGCCGGCCGACACGAAGTCCTGCCAGGCTTCCTGCACAGGCTGTGCTAACAAGCAGGTGAACACGTTTCGTGCAGTCATAAGAAATGTCCAGTGGAAACTAAGCTCTCATGCAGTAGAAAAACGGAATGTTCATCTTTTTTCCCCAGTCAGGAGATTCTGGGAGGCATGCCTGCATTGGCTCGGGGGGCTGAAAACAGCACTTATAATACAGCCAGAGGGGCAATTCCATTGCCAGCAGACAGCCACCCGATCGATGGAAGGAAAGCCAGTGCTGCAAGCCAATTTTTCCACAGAAACCCAGAAGCTCTACAGCAATTTTGGGGTGCTTATGCATGCATGTGTGCAGCAAACTAATGTGAATCTGCTAATTGTGTTGCATACCTGAGAGCCGTGTGTGTGTGTGTGTGTGTGTGTGTGTGTGTGTGTGTGAATGCATGGGGCAGATTTGGAGTGGGACCAGTATGCTCCAGCAGAGAAGAATTAAACCTTCCCCCTCCCTCCCACCCATTTCATCCCAGAAATACCACCTATTATGAAGGAGGGGACATAAGAAAAGGGAAATGCATCTATTGGCACTTAGAACTTCAATGTTAAACCCTGAACAAGGGAAAGGAATGACGGAATGGGAGATAATGAGGCCCACGGGGAGGGGATTGAAGCCAAGGGCCAAGCTGAGCTTCAGAGGTGCTCTCAGAGACCCCCTTGCCTCTCCCCCACATGCAAAACGCCAGCTTGTTTGGGGTTAATGCTCTTATTGCCAACAACTACACCTTAGAAGAGACGTTAGGGCCTTCGGAATCCCATTGGTGGTGGGGAGACACGTGAACCCTGGGGAACCACCAGGCTAGTGGTGGCTAGAGAGAAGGGGAAGTTTGTGTGGCCATTTTGCAAAGCCCAGAAAACCAGACCGGCATCCCAGATGGGTTAGATCCCTCTCCCTCCCTCCCTTCCTCCCTCCTGCTCTCTGTCCTAACACTTGAGCCCAGAGCAATCCCATCAGACTGACTGGTGGAAGATTCAGAACAGATTGAAAAAGGACTTTGTCACACAATGCAGAGTTAACCTGTGGAATTCACTGCCACTGGATGAGGTTCTGGAGGGCTTTAAAAGGACGGGACAAACTCAAGGGGAAAGCTACATTTTGGCTACTATTCTTGCTGGTCATAGGCTACTTCCTGTATCACAGGCAGTGTATCTGTGTGCACCCATTGCTGGGGAACATGGGTGAGAGGGTATGACTGTAGTCAGGCCCTGCTTATGGGCAGAATGCTGGCTTGGGTGGAACGTGAGTCAAAGAAGTTTGGAGAAGCCTGCAGGATCCACGCTCTGGTGGTTGGAGGGATTGAAGGCAAAGGGGGTCAGGGACAAAAAAAAAAAAACTCAAAAACCAGCATATTGTAGGTTAAAGCGGAACACCTCTAAGCAAAACATTGGGACAGTTAAGCCCATGGAAATAATCGTAAAAGCTGGGAAGACTCCAGATGATCTGTGCCTGGTAGACCAGGAGTGAGGCCTTCCTATGAAACCAGGGGGTGCAGGGGGGATCAGGCACCCGGGCGGGGTTGCTCAGCCCATGTGCACTGTGTGAGAATCCACATTTAAGAATGCCATTCACAGCTATGCAGCTGGCTTCAGAGAGAGTTAGAATTAGAGCGTCCGTGTAGCGCAGGGCTAAGACTGTATCTTGGGACGAAGGGCATCTGGGTTCTAAGCCACGCTCAGCCATGGGCCTAACTAGGGGGCTTTGGGCCAGTCACATTTCAGCCCAACCTACCTCATCGGGTTGTTGCTGGGAGAATGAGACAGAGAGGAGGAGGATGTAAACCGCCCTGAGTTCCTTGGAAGGAAAAGCAGTGGGACATAAGCGTAATAAATAAATAGATGAAGAGCTGTTCGTCGAATGTCTACATCTTTAAGCATCCACATGCTGAGTTATTGCTGGGCAGAATCTCTGCTTGCCAGTTAGAACAGCAATGCTCCCCAGCCCTCAAAAACGGGGGTCCCAAACAGCTGCCTTGGTGTTACTCTGGGCCGCTGCGCTCCACGGGCCTCTGTGCATCTTCCGCACCCCCAAATCAGCATCTTCTCTGCATCCCTTCTAACGGGATGCTTCTTGCCGGAGCCATCCCCCGCAACGCGCAGCTGTCCGCTAACCTCGCCAGCTCTCCGAGCGAACGTTTAGAGCAGCGTCCCTTTGACACACGGATCTCCCACAATTAGTCTCAGCGTGTGTCTCTGGCACACTCGGCATCCAAGTGAGATCTCCGTGACATTTCATTTGACGTCAGTCACAAGTACCAGAATAATTGAAGGATTGCAGGGGAAAAGGCATCTGAAGTTTAGCAATCCTGCCACAACCTTCAGCAGGTGAAGGCATTCGGCAACAAAACTTAGCTGTTTGGAGCACTGCACAGCCGATGCTTTGTTTCTGAATAAACATATTTGTTTCTGTTGCTTACATACTGCTAGAAAGAATAAAACCTCTTTGCAGTTTCAACAGAAGCAGCGATCCTAACCTGTTGCCATAAAGCTCAATGGGTGAGTTTGGGCCGGTCATACACCCTCAGTCCAACCTACCTCGCAGGTTGTTGTTGTGAAGATAAAGTGGAGCTGTGTAAACTGTCTTGGGTTTCTCACAAAAAGAACAAGGGTGGAATATAAATGCAATATAATAATTATGTTATTCTCCCCTGCTTGTGGGGGCGAGGAGCCAGGGCTGAAATGTGCATACCTGTCCATGGCAGAGATTACATTTGAAGGAGAAATTTCTTGATACACAGAAAGTCCGTTCGTCCATTGGTGTGATGCCACCGGAAAAGAAGCAAGTGGCACCTTGACCGTGAAGCCACAGAGGCCCTGTTTGCAGAGACAACAGCCGAAACGGCAGTTCTGTGGCAACCTTTGTTCACAAGCGATTTGCTTGCCTTGCCTTTCTCATTTTCTTCAACAAGTTCTTCAGACACAAGGA